CTTATTGATTTTATTTCCTTTTGTTTGCCGTCTCTGTGTCCAGTGTTCTTATAGTTTTTCTGTTTGTTTGCCGTCTCTGTGTCCAGTGTTCTTATCGTTTTTCTTTCTGTTTGTTTGCCGTCTCTGTGTCCAGTGTCCTTATTGTTTTTCTTTGTTTGTTTGCCGTCTCTGTGTCCAGCATCCTTATTGTTTTTCTTTGTTTGTTTGCCGTCTCTGTGTCCAGTGTCCTTATCGTTTTTCTTTCCTTTTGTTTGCCGTCTCTGTGTCCAGTGTTCTTATCGTTTTTCTTTCCTTTTGTTTGCCGTCTCTGTGTCCAGTGTTCTTATTGTTTTTCTTTCTGTTTGTTTTTCTTTCTGTTTGTTTGCCGTCTCTGTGTCCAGTGTTCTTATCGTTTTTCTTTCTGTTTGTTTGCCGTCTCTGTGTCCAGTGTTCTTATCGTTTTTCTTTCCTTTTGTTTGCCGTCTCTGTGTCCAGTGTTCTTATCGTTTTTCTTTCCTTTTGTTTGCCGTCTCTGTGTCCAGTGTCCTTATTGTTTTTCCTTGTTTGTTTGCCGTCTCTGTGTCCAGTGTTCTTATTGTTTTTCTTTCTGTTTGTTTGCCGTCTCTGTGTCCAGTGTCCTTATCGTTTTTCTTTGTTTGTTTGCCGTCTCTGTGTCCTGTGTTCTTATCGTTTTTCTTTCTGTTTGTTTGCCGTCTCTGTGTCCAGTGTTCTTACCGTTTTTCTTTCCTTTTGTTTGCCGTCTCTGTGTCCAGTGTCCTTATTGTTTTTCTTTGTTTGTTTGCCGTCTCTGTGTCCAGTATCCTTATTGTTTTTCTTTGTTTGTTTGCCGTCTCTGTGTCCAGTGTTCTTATAGTTTTTCTGTTTGTTTGCCGTCTCTGTGTCCAGTGTCCTTATTGATTTTATTTCCTTTTGTTTGCCGTCTCTGTGTCCAGTGTCCTTATTGTTTTTCTTTGTTTGTTTGCCGTCTCTGTGTCCAGTGTTCTTATAGTTTTTCTGTTTGTTTGCCGTCTCTGTGTCCAGTGTCCTTATTGATTTTATTTCCTTTTGTTTGCCGTCTCTGTGTCCAGCATCCTTATTGTTTTTCTTTGTTTGTTTGCCGTCTCTGTGTCCAGTGTCCTTATTGATTTTATTTCCTTTTGTTTGCCGTCTCTGTGTCCAGTGTTCTTATAGTTTTTCTGTTTGTTTGCCGTCTCTGTGTCCAGTGTCCTTATTGATTTTATTTCCTTTTGTTTGCCGTCTCTGTGTCCAGTGTTCTTATAGTTTTTCTGTTTGTTTGCCGTCTCTGTGTCCAGTGTTCTTATCGTTTTTCTTTCCTTTTGTTTGCCGTCTCTGTGTCCAGTGTCCTTATCGTTTTTCTTTCTTTTTGTTTGCCGTCTCTGTGTCCAGTGTTTTTCTTCCTGTTTGCTTGACATCTTCGTGTCCAGTGTTCTTTCTAAGCCATACTTTCATGAAGCATCGTTTTTTAAGTCATACTTTCATTTCACAAATGGGCCATTTTATCAATTTGTTTTGATAATTTTCCATAAATGATAGTAATTGATTTCACCGAACTCTTCCAGTTCAGGAGTGTGTAATAGCAAACATTTCTGTGATGGTGGAATGATACAGGTAGTGGCAGCACTTTTATATGAATATGTAGTAATACAAGAAATGACAGAATTCAATAACATTTTCGTGAAACAGGGACCGGCAGTGCTGACAAATATAACAGTGTTATGATAAAGGAAGTGACAGGGTATAGTATGGTGGCGTAGTGATATTAGATTGTGCAGTGATACAGAAGTTTAAGTGAGTGATACAAATCAAATATGACATTCAAGTGATACAAGAAGTGGCATTGCTGACAAATGTAAAGATGCAGCAGAAATTTATTATGTTGGTGTAGTGATAGAGTAGGTGACAGGAATCTATTATGATGGTGTAGTGATAGAGTAGGTGACAGGAATCTATTATGATGGTGTAGTGATAGAGTAGGTGACAGGAATCTATTATGATGGTGTAGTGATACAGGAGGTGACAGGAATGTATTATGATGGTGTAGTGATACAGGAGGTGACAGGAATGTATTATGATGGTGTAGTGATACAGAAGGTGACAGGAATCTATTATGATGGTGTAGTGATACAGGAGGTGACAGAAATATATTATGATGGTGTAGTGATACAGGAGGTGACAGGAATGTATTATGATGGTGTAGTGATACAGTAGGTGACAGAAATATATTATGATGGTGTAGTGATACAGTAGGTGACAGGAATCTATTATGATGGTGTAGTGATACAGTAGGTGACAGGAATCTATTATGATGGTGTAGTGATACAGAAGGTGACAGGAATCTATTATGATGGTGTAGTGATACAGTAGGTGACAGGAATCTATTATGATGGTGTAGTGATACAGAAGGTGACAGGAATCTATTATGATGGTGTAGTGATACAGGAGGTGACAGGAATGTATTATGATGGTGTAGTGACAAAGGAGGTGACAGGAATGTATTATGATGGTGTAGTGATACAGGAGGTGACAGGAATGTATTATGATGGTGTAGTGATACAGTAGGTGACAGAAATATATTATGATGGTGTAGTGATACAGTAGGTGACAGGAATCTATTATGATGGTGTAGTGATACAGGAGGTGACAGGAATGTATTATGATGGTGTAGTGATACAAGAGGTGACAGGAATATATTATGATGGTGTAGTGATACAGTAGGTGACAGGAATCTATTATGATGGTGCAGTGATACAGGAGGTGACAGGAATATATTATGATGGTGCAGTGATACAGGAGGTGACAGGAATATATTATGATGGTGCAGTGATACAGGAGGTGACAGGAATATATTATGATGGTGCAGTGATACAGGAGGTGACAGGAATATATTATGATGGTGTAGTGATACAGAAGGTGACAGGAATCTATTATGATGGTGTAGTGATACAGAAGGTGACAGGAATCTATCATGATGGTGCAGTGATACAGAAGGTGACAGGAATCTATTATGATGGTGTAGTGATACAGGAGGTGACAGAAATATATTATGATGGTGTAGTGATACAGGAGGTGACAGGAATATATTATGATGGTGTAGTGATACAGGAGGTGACAGGAATATATTATGATGGTGCAGTGATACAGGAGGTGACAGGAATATATTATGATGGTGTAGTGATACAGAAGGTGACAGGAATATATTATGATGGTGTAGTGATACAGGAGGTGAAAGAAATATATTATGATGGTGTAGTGATACAGAAGGTGAAAGGAATATATAATGATGGTGTAGTGATACAGTAGGTGACAGGAATCTATTATGATGGTGTAGTGATACAGAAGGTGACAGGAATATATTATGATGGTGTAGTGATACAGGAGGTGACAGAAATATATTATGTTGGTGTAGTGATAGAGTAGGTGACAGGAATCTATTATGATGGTGTAGTGATACAGGAGGTGACAGGAATCTATTATGATGGTGCAGTGATACAGAAGGTGACAGGAATCTATTATGATGGTGCAGTGATACAGAAGGTGACAGGAATCTATTATGATGGTGTAGTGATACAGGAGGTGACAGAAATATATTATGATGGTGTAGTGATACAGGAGGTGACAGGAATATATTATGATGGTGTAGTGATACAGAAGGTGACAGGAATCTATTATGATGGTGTAGTGATACAGGAGGTGACAGAAATATATTATGATGGTGTAGTGATACAGGAGGTGACAGGAATATATTATGATGGTGTAGTGATACAGGAGGTGACAGGAATATATTATGATGGTGCAGTGATACAGAAGGTGACAGGAATACATTAGGTTGATGTAGTGATACAGGAGGTGACAGAAATATATTATGATGGTGTAGTGATACAGGAGGTGACAGGAATGTATTATGATGGTGTAGTGATACAGTAGGTGACAGAAATATATTATGATTGATACAGAGGTGACAGGAATCTATTATGATGGTAGTGATACAGTAGGTGACAGGAATCTATTATGATGGTGTAGTGATACAGAAGGTGACAGGAATCTATTATGATGGTGTAGTGATACAGGAGGTGACAGGAATGTATTATGATGGTGAAGTGGAGGAGGTGACAGGTATTATGATGGTGTAGTGATACAGGAGGTGACAGGAATGTATTATGATGGTGTAGTGATACAGAAGGTGACAGGAATGTATTATGATGGTGTAGTGATACAGGAGGTGACAGAAATATATTATGATGGTGTAGTGATACAGTAGGTGACAGGAATATATTATGATGGTGTAGTGATACAGTAGGTGACAGGAATCTATTATGATGGTGTAGTGATACAGAAGGTGACAGGAATATATTATGATGGTGTAGTGATACAGGAGGTGACAGAAATATATTATGATGGTGTAGTGATACAGGAGGTGACAGGAATATATTATGATGGTGTAGTGATACAGGAGGTGACAGGAATATATTATGATGGTGCAGTGATACAGAAGGTGACAGGAATCTATTATGATGGTGCAGTGATACAGAAGGTGACAGGAATCTATTATGATGGTTTAGTGATACAGGAGGTGACAGAAATATATTATGATGGTGTAGTGATACAGGAGGTGACAGGAATATATTATGATGGTGTAGTGATACAGGAGGTGACAGGAATATATTATGATGGTGCAGTGATACAGAAGGTGACAGGAATACATTAGGTTGATGTAGTGATACAGGAGGTGAAAGAAATATATTATGATGGTGTAGTGATACAGAAGGTGAAAGGAATATATAATGATGGTGTAGTGATACAGGAGGTGACAGGAATATGTTATGATGGTGTAATCTGCTTACCATTGGTGTTACGTGTTAGATACTTAAATATACACGTGTATGTTCTATAGCAGGTAGAGGTAAAACAGACTTCTTTTTAAAAAGAAATTACTGAAATATGAGGCAAAATATTTTCGATTATTTATTTAAAACATGTAGAAAGAATTCAAAGCAAATCCATAACATTGATAATGTTTATTCATTTGTGAAGTCCAATTTCAGCTACAGCAAAAATCATCTGCACAATTTGGGATTTCGAAAAATTCACTGAACCAACATTTGCTGTTTGTACATGGTTTACAAGTAAGTCATTTCTGACAAGATTTGTCTCTAAGGATTTTTTTAATTCTGAAGGTTAGATACACATGAACCAACATTTGTAAGACAATTTTATACATCATAATTCTAGTTCTGTTGGTACATATAATCAATAAATTTGATTTCATCATAATTTCAGTAAGACATCTAACAAAGGATTAATATATACATCAAACAACACAACTACACTAGTGTAGTTTCAGCTCAAAAACTATGTTCTGGAAATTGTCCCCCACCCCCTGACAAAACAATGTAAAAACTCTGGTATATGGTATTTTTGGAAGTAAAACTTAATCTTAGCAGCAAGTCTAATTTAAAAACAAAAACAGATTCCATAAAGCTAAATGTTAAAATATAATATGACTAAATTATACATATCTGCTTCAGCTTTAGATTTTGATGGAAATGAATAGCAATTAAGAATCAAAGAAAAACTTCAAACAGTCCATTCCAGCTCATATACAAGCTACTTTTTATGCTAAAACTATCTATGAAATTGTCATTATTGTACACAGTTCAATCTGATAACATGATGACCTTAATTACCTCCATGATAAGGCATCTACACAGTTACTTACTGAACAATGAGTTTAAATGTACAAATTAACAATAGTGACAAATTGATTGATAGATGAGGCGAAAGCCATGTGTTCCTGACTATTTCATGGTAAAGGCAAAAAGTTCTCAGACTGCTTCTTTTTAAATTGAAATATATTTTTGCTTTGATAAGAAAAGAAATCTGTCCACACTACTATAATTTCCATTTACATTTTCAACCTAGATTTCCTGTCCATCTTTCACAACCCCTAACAAACACCACAAACAAACAGTTACTCCTAAAAACATTAACAAACACCTTATCTACATCTCAATTTTATTTTAATGAGAACACGGGAACAATGCCTGGCCAATCACCTATGAGTAATCAATAACATCTGAAAGGCAATCAAAGCGCTGCCTTGTGATTGGTCAATTTTCTGGATCAATAAAAAGGTCATATCTATAAAAATGAATCATTTCTGAAAAAAAAATCAGCTTTATCCTGACACTAATTAAAAAAAATGATGAGACAATAAAAATGGTGACAACAGTACATCTCTGTTTCAGCTTAATCAAAATTTGAGTGTTTTTAATGTATATTTGATTAGGTTGTCCTTTTCACAATTTTGTATGAATCGTTTTCACTACTATGTTAAAGCTGAAGTTAGTTTATGTTACCTCAACATGGAGAAGTTGTGTTCATTCACAGCCATTAAAGAGAGTGTGACATGAAATATATTTTACAATGTGTCAAAATCTCTGAAAACATATTTAGAATACCTGGATACATAGGTAATATGTGTAGATGTGCACCAAATTAAATCCCAGAGTACTAGTGGGATAACAGTGAAATATCAGTTGCATGAAATAAAAAAAATCAAACATTATATCTGAAAAATTATTTGTTTTTTCACAACACTTGAGAAAAAAATCATAACACAGAGTCAAGAAGCTTAGAACATTGTAAATTTGATATCCTCAGCTACTTTTCTGGTGTCAGAACAGTAGATATTTTGGAATACTCAGTCCTTGTGAGAAAGTCATATGTACAGTGAGGTCCATCGTAAGTGGTCACTCTAGCATGTGGGTCATTATATACAGTGGTCTCATTACACAGCTAATAAACATATATGTTGAGATGTATGGCTACCCTAAAATGATATATGTTTCTTATACATGCACTTCTACAATAAGTTTCATCCTAAGTTTTAAGAACAACAGAATATTTACATCAGCAGTTGCTTAACTCAACAGTTCCGGTCGGATGGTTTTAGGTAGGAGAGGTTCAGATGCTGAAATATCTCCTCTTCACTAGCTGCTGGCAGCTTTTTATTCTGCAAAGATGACAAATAAATGATACTTAAATTTCAGAAACACAGAAAAAAAAATTTTGTATAAAACAGCAAAATCCTCTTTTAGAGGTCTGAGAATAACACCATCGTTAAAATGAAGTTCAAATTTGGTCAAACTACTTTAAACTTTGGCAAGACAAGTATACTATGAAATTTACAAAAAAGTTAAATTATTTTACAGTAAAAGATTCACAACACAAACCTGTTCAAAATTCCATAATCCGTGACTGGTTAGTTTCTGGTTGAGTGTCTTCTGTGAATATAATCTGATGTCACGGTTGAACTGTTTACTACCAGTCCAACCTAACAGGGCATAGTGATACATGCTGTAGGGGGCAATGACAAGGTCAACTCTGCGAGCAATCCATGTGCGGGGTGCTGTGGCAAAGGAGAGCGGAGTAGGCTCCCCTTCACACAGTCTTTGTTTCTTGCTGTGTGGTTCATAGTCATCAGCTGTACAGGTTTCAATGCCGCGAACTGGGGCATTATTTGACATGAGAAACCTGTATTCACTGGGGTTAATTTTTTCATGACAGAAGCGTTTAGGTAGCTTCATAAGTCCAATCCATTTCTCATAGTGATCCATGTGTCCCTTGGTATTGTAGTCACGTGACAAAACACGGTCACCATAGGAACTCTTCTCTAGCTTACCGCACAGAATCAGTGACCTCTGCTCCAGTTGTGTAAGCAACTTGGGTAAAAAGTTCACCTCTTTGCCTTCCTCTGGGTGACTGAACAGCAGATCAACATCATGGCCAGCTGACTTACCCCTAAAACAACACAGAAGTCAGGAGGATATCAAATACAAATTAGTGGGAAAATAACCATTCCAATTTTTATCAATGCCAATGCTTGAAGTCATGACTTTCCAAACTTTCAAAAATGTAATGACTCAAACTAGAAAACTATGATAAAATATTCTCAATTAGGAAAATAAGACAAGATCATCATGGAGATTTTGAATATTGAACCATTTGTAAGTTATTACTGGGATACATAGAGTAAGGAAAACTGGCACATATGTTGTTTTCTGTATGTCACTTGTAACATTATATAATATATATAATATTGGTGTCATATGACCTGCAAAATCCAATGTTCAGTGTTTCAATAACTCCAGGTATGACTGTCATTGTTCTATTTATCTGTGAAATCTACTGGTCAGTGTTTCAATAACTCCAGGTAAGATTATCATCGTTCTATTTACCTGTGAAATCTACTGGTCAGTGTTACAATAACTCCTGGTAAGATTGTCACCGTTCTATTTACCTGTGAAATCTACCGGTCAGTGTTACAATAACTCCAGGTAAGATTGTCATCGTTCTATTAACCTGTGAAATCTACCGGTCAGTGTTACAATAACTCCAGGTAAGATTGTCACTGTCCTATTTATCTGTGAAATCTATCGGTCAGTGTTACAATAACTCCAGGTAAGATTGTCTCCGTTCTGATGAGTGTAACAATTCTATTTACCTGTGAAATCCACTGGTTATTCATATAATACATGTAAAATTGTCAGCGTTTTATTTACTTGCTGAATCCATTGGTCAGTATTAGAATAAATCCAGTTTAGAAAATGTCAGCATTTTATCAACCTGCAGAATTCATTGATCATAGTTACAATAACTAAAGGTAATAAGAGTATCATTGAAACTGATGAATTCTCCCCCAAAACAACTTTATTGGACATAAAATTTTAACAAAGGGATATTGTGCCAATTTGGTACACTGCACACTATCTTAGTATGATATGCCTCCACCACAGGTTTTCTCTAGTTTAAATGAAGACATCGCCTATGGTCTATGATGACCCGACACCCAATTTGCAAATGACCATCCAGCTCACAAAGGTAACATTGTGGCCGAAGTCTTCTCATAGCATCCTAATAATGTTGACCTCCTTTCGACGATGAGACTGGAGTCCACCACCAGGCTGAAATTCAGTAGTATGGACACTCTGGACGCCCTGTCTGGTAATAATTGTTGCCACCCTTTTGCTGTCCATGATGTTGATTACTTCTCTGCCAGTGCACCCAACGTGATTAGAGTTGCTAAGTGGAAACTGAAGAATCATGCTGTCTGTCTTGTTGCTGGTGCTGGTTGAAAGATGCTGAATTCTTCTACCTTTTTCTCTCACTTTCAGACTTGTCAAAGTGTGAAGTCAACTGCTGCATCAAAGCCCTCAACTCTGACATGTCCGAGTTACTGTCAGTTGGAGATGGTGTAGCAGCCATCATCTTGACTTGAGACTGTGTTGAGTTAACTTCTCAGCAGGTTATATTCCTCTTGAATTCTCTAGGCAACTGATCAAAATCATGAATGGGATCAAACTTATAGCCAGCCATATCTCCTAAAACAGGTTGAAGCCCTTCAAAAAACACTGTACACAACATAGAGTTAACCTTCTTTGGTGTAATATAGGAGCGTTGTGTACCTCTTCCTATAATCTCCTCTAATTGAAATCCCCTAGCAGCAACTGTCTCATTCTCCATCTGTTAAGTACTATGGAATTCCGCAAGTAAGGATTCATCAGATTCCATTAGTCAGACTGTTTCCAACCTGTCTAATATAGTTTTCAGATCTGTTTAAGGTCCAAGTCCCATCACAACTTCAGTTCACACTTAAGTTACATCCTAACTGCCAGAGCAATGGCTTCCCAAGAATAGAGGAAATGCTCTACTCCCTGTCAGGCTTACTGTACTTCTCTGTACAAGACATGAAGACTGGTTACCATCAGGAAGAGATAGCAGAAGAGCACATAGAGCAGACAGCATTAACTGTTAAACCCCTTGGTTTTTTTGAGTTAATCAGGATGCCATCCAGATTCCTGGAGTGGGAGTATGTAACCCTGGTAAATACTAGACACAATACACTACTCGGCTAGAGAGGACTGCTCTTTTGTTTGATCGGTTGAGCGTCAGACTAGTAAACCAGACATCATGGGTTCGAATCCTGGGGTAGGCATTGAAAAAACTAATGACCTCTGTTACTGTCTCAGTATGAGCGATGTATCTATCAAGTTTCATTATCCTAGTTTAAATAAAAGCAATTTAAAGTTGTGCTCTAGACACCAAATTTTAGCAAAGGGGTTGTGGGCCTTGAATTTTGTACAACATCTAAGTATGATCAATGAATACACCAAGTTTCGTTATCCTTATTTGAATACAAGCAAATTTATGCTCAATACACAAAATTTTAACAAAGGATGATAACTCTGTGATTGAGGGGTCAAGGGACCTGAATTTGGTATGCTACACATTCCCTTTGTATGACCAATGTATACACTAAATTTCATGAACCTTGCTTAACTGTGTGCAAATTTATGCTCTGGACACAAAGGGACGAACGTATGGGTGGATCGATGGACAGACAAGGTCAGGAAAATATGCTCCCCAGAAAAATTTCCTGGAGCATACAAATTGTCATTATTTTATTTACCTTCGGAATCCACCAGTCAGTGTTACAATAACCCCAGGTAGGATCCTCTCTGCCTCAGCTTTAATCACAGCAGTCAAGTTCTCTGCTTCAATTAACTGAACCTGTTCTTTCAAATCATCATGGAAGGCCAATCCTGGATAAAGTTCAAGTAAGATATTTTTATCTATAAATATTCAAAGTTACAAAATGTTTGTTTATAATAGGCCTGTCTTTAATTCTAACTCAGACACTGTATCAATGGTACCAACCTAGACACAGTATCAATGGTACCATGAAATACACAAATGTTGCATCACAAACAATACAATTCCCTAATATCCACCTGATTTCAAATAGTAACAAACAATTGTACTAGCCATGCCATCTTTTTCCATACATGAAGTACATATATGTCCTCCATAACACCTATTGTTACTGCTACACCAGTATATACAGCACAACTTTCACACTACTATATAGATGTAGAAGACATAGGACTTCAATAGTTCAAAGTAGGCATTTCTTCTATTGTATCAAATAAACCAGCATTGGTCAACTATTCAAAACAGCATGTCAAACAAGAGATCCCTGAATCTTGGCAGCCACCATTGTTTGATCTTTATTTGTTCTTTAAAAGTTTAATCTTTTCTCTTCTTTCCTCTGTTTTTTTTTTTTTTTTTTGCCAAATCCAAGATGGCAACTTGTCAGCCATTTTGTTTTTTCTAATCAGTCCAAAAATCAAGCGGCACAACTAGAGCTCTCAGGAAAGAGCAATAACAAATTTTCACTGTCGAAATCCAAGATGGCAGCTTCTCAGCCATTTTATTTTTGCTGATCAATCCCAAAATCTAAAAAGGGAACTAAGGGCCAAGAGGAACTACAATTTGAAATCTGAGAAAGATCCATCAAGTTCTTCAAAAGAAATTGTGATTACAAAAATTGTTTATGTACCAACGATTGGAATAGCCCACCATTTTAAGTTGGTTGACTAATCGGGGAAAAAAAAGCCTTACTGGATTCTTTCACTGAAACAACTCTGTATCTGTTTTTCAAAAACCATCTATAAAACCATTAATGCTGCTAACATCTAACATTTCTTACTACAATTTATTATTTTGCCAATCACTGGCTCATCTTTTACCTACCCCACTGAACCATCCAGTTTTTACGTTCACACTTTACTAAAGCCTCTGCAACAGTGTTCACACCCTGTTCCACCCAGATCTTGGCTGTAGCTGGACCCACCCCAAATATTGTGGAGAAAATCTGTAAAGTACATTAAAGAACATTTCACAAAGTTAGACATTTCAGTATCAACAATTTAAAAAGAATTAGAAACAGCAGGAATTGGATTCTGTGGCAATGTACAAAGTTAGAATCAGTGGAATGTCACACTACATAAAATTTGTAACATTTGAACTAGCTTTGTATAAATATAGAACCACTCAACACAAGCAATAAACATTTATATTCATCCATACCACAGGATAGTTAAGACGCAGGTATCAAATGCTTCTAAGATCATAACAGGCTAGATGATGAAATTTTACCTCAAAGGAAACATTCTGATTTCCAACTTTTCTAATTTCCAACAATCCTATTGCTTGACTTCACATATATAAGACTTTCAGATCAGGACTAAAACATTTACCATTCTGACACCAAAAGAGAAGTTAAGGATACAAAATTTGTAAAGTTTCTAAGCTTATGGCATTAGTATAATATGCAATTATTCACTGTTAAGTGAGTTATACATCGGTGTTGAAAGAGCCAAATAGTTATAACTCTAAAAATTTGCTTAAACTTATCCCAAAATCACTTCAACTCCAACTCCATACTATGAAACTTGTTGGCATTTGGCATGAATTTCATATAAAGTACCAGGAAAAAATGTACCTTCACTTTCTGAAACCAAGGATCTTTTAATGTTTCTTCTACTTCCGTAGCAAATCCCTCTGCAAGGATCTCCTGTAATCAAACAAATCAGACAATCACCAGAATATAACATCTAGATACTCACCATGAGATGACATCTAGATACTCACCATGAGATAAAATCTAGATACTCACCATGTGAAAACATCTAGATACTCACCACGAGAAAATATCTAGATACTCACCACGAGAAAATATCTAGATACTCACCATGAGAAAACATCTAGATACTCACCATGAGAAAACATCTAAATACTCACCATGAGAAAACATCTAGATACTCACCATGAGAAAACATCTAGATACTCACCATGAGATAACATCTAGATACTCACCATGAGAAAACATCTAGATACTCACCATGAGAAAACATCTAGATACTCATAACAAGGAAACATGTAGATACTCACTTTGAAATAACATCTAGATATTAAGTGTGAGTACCTGTATACTAATCTAGATACTTATGTAGTAATTACCTTGATGACTTGTCTACTATGGCCCCCAATATCTTTCTGTCCTTTCACCTGTTTTACATTCGTTATCATGAATGGCAGTGATTTTAAAACACACGAGGCCCTGCGGAAAGCCAATGAGCGTAAATGATCCTGGCCACTGTCTATGAATTCTGCCTTCATTTGTAGAACCTCCAGTGCATTCTGCATACAAGAAAAAAAATAAGAGCAAAGATTACAGCTTCGAAAGTATCAAAAACATGTACGTTACTGGAAGTTAAGACAGAGACACATGTTCAACGAGAGGCCCATAGGGCCTGTACTGCTCACCTGACTTTGTTTGGCTACTTCATCCAAACTAAAGGAAAAAGAATTCTATATTTCCAAGCACACAACACACACTATATCTATTTCTCTGTTGGGCCCCATCCCTCAGTCCTTAGGGTGTCAGCCAAACAATTCATGCTTCATAATGAATTTGGATAGAGTTCTGCAATTCGAACAGAACAATTTTGAAGAATATGCTATTTCCTCTTGAATGGATTCTGCGCCTCCCATTTCAAGTGGCTTAGACCTACCATTTATACAAAACTGATTTCAATTTACTCAATGATGTGTCAGACCAAATTTGGGCAAAATTTAATCATTCCTTCAGAAGCAGTATATTTTTCAAGAATTTGCTCTATTGGGCCCCGCCCATCCACCCCTAGGAGACCAAGACCCACTGTTTATACAAGATATATTTCCCTTCAATCAAGAATACTTCAAACCAAATTTGGTCAAAATCCTTCTGGCTCTGGGGTCCCAGACCCAACGGTATACAAAATACATTCCCCTTCACCTAAGAATGCTTCCAAAAAAAAACTGGGCAAAATAAAACATAATTTCTACTGGGAGAGCAGAATTTTAAAGAATTTCATCTATTTCCCCTATTAGGCCCTGCCCCTCCTGCCCCACCGTTTAAAAAATATATTTCCCTTCACCCAAGAATGCTTCAAACCAAATTTTGGCAAAGTCCAATGATTCCTTCAGTAAAACTAGTAATTTGAAGAATTTGCTCTATTTCCCTCATTGGGTCCCATCCCTAAAGCCCCAGGGAGCCAAGACCCACCATCTACACAAAATTTGCTCTTCTTCCTCCAAGTATGCTTCTGACTGAATTTGATCAGAATCTACTTACTGGGTAGTCATTCTTGACTAGTAGAGATTAAGAGAAAAAGTTAACAGACCGACAATGGTTGGATGGTGGATGGACAATGGATGCTGTGGTTTGCCATAAGCTCATTGGCCCTTTGGTCCAAAGTGAGTTAAAATGAAGCAAATATCAAAAGACATAAGAAATCATTGATTTATACATGAGGCTCACATCTAAACACAAATATTGTAGGCTGAAGTTTGAAATGTTGGAAAATATTGTGTTTAAATATACTTAACAGTTAAATAACATACATCTCTGTTTGTGTGAGAGACAATCATTTACTTTTCGTAAGGTTCATCTTTGCATATTTCCTAATATTGTAATAGGTCCGTCATTTGTTAATACTTACACAGAATATCTCATTGAAATGTCTGAGGGGTGTGGCACGCTGACATGCCCATTCTGTAGTAGTGATCTGTGGCAAGCTTTCTATGGGAGGTGCACTTTCTGCCTTTAAAAGTAAATTACATATTAATTGTACTTGGTTGACTTTGATCATCCTATCTATAACACAACATACATGTACGAAATACAGACTGCATTATTTGTACCAATCAACAGAAATTTGAGAATAGACAGTCACAGATTTTCTTCGATTATCTTCTGGGTCAATTGCATTTAAACATAACAACTAAATGTTCCATGTAGTTTATCATATTCTAAGTTTAATTACTTTCTCAATTGAAAAGTTTGAAAAATAAGTATATGTAAAGCTGTCATTGCAAAGAATTAAGACAGCTGTCACAAAATGTTTCATAATATTTCGACATGATAACACACACTTATATTTGTTTAACACCGATTTCTAAAACCAGTTTATCAATTTCAAATATGAAATTAGGCATTTGAATCACTAGTATTTATATTGATGGTTGTACCTCTGGAGGGGGTTCTGGTATTCTGTGCTCATCTTCTACTGGTAATATTTCAGCTTTTTTAATACAAGCTGTAAACCATGTCAGACGAAGAAGTTCTATTCCTTTTAATATAGAATAATCCACAATCTTAAGTTTGCGTGCAACTTTATATCTGTTGTCCAGCTCACTCACTATATGTGTCACTTTTGGACTGGAATAAAAAAAATTAACTTAAGCAAAGTATCAGAGATTACACATCACTAACTAGGCTGTTACACAAATTTATGAATCTATATTACTGTCTGCCTCCATGCTGCTGGAAAATCTATAACATAATTAATTCATATGCTAATATGGGAAGTTTGATGTCCAGAATTCAAAAAAAATGTTGATGTGCATTTATAGTGTCAGACATATGTCCATTGTAAATTGTGGATTTATTTATCATTTATCTAAATAACAACATGGAATGTCTTTTCTCTATACTCATTATAAATCAACACAACAAGTTGATAAATAACGTGCATCGGAACATCAGAATGTAGATACAAGCAAAGTACAGTCTAATATGTAAGTTGACCAGAACCAAATTATGCATGCAAGCTTTTTGATACAAAACCATTACCAGAATGACTCCACAACTGATAGTTTTTTCCGCCTGGCTGCAGATTTGATATCCTTTAAACGCTTCTTTTGAATTCTTGTTGGTACGATATAAACCACTACAGGTTTACTTTCGCTGGTACTCGCTTCAGGGTCGCTCATATTTGTAAATTTCTGGCTGAAAACACACCACACTGATTCTTGCTGAACAAGGAAAACGAAAGTTGAAGCCTAAATTTAAAACCAAATTCCGGAAAACTTAAGAAAATAAAGAAATTTTATGTTTTCTCTTATGATCTCTGTTGAACAACTGCTATTAATAATTGAAAGGTGCAATATGTGATATATTTCGATAAAATGCTTCAACTTTAGTTATCAGGTTGAGTCAAAACGAACCGATGCCATAATATTCTAACGTACGTTTTGCTAAATAGTGTTAGATGTCAATTTCCGCTCGATAGGGGGCGCGTTGCGAACCTAAACAAATTCCTATTCACCTCTTTCGCCAAGGAAAATTATCTGTCCGACATCAGGTGAGAACTGTGACTGTCATTATATCCATCTGCTTGTAGAACCATTTGAAATATTGCCATTCATTTTTGTGTAATAAGGTTTTTAAACTGAAGTAAGGATTAAACAATTAACAAGCGAGGGTTATTTAAATGATGGACACAATGCTTGTAACAACATAAAAAGTGATACTGTCTGAGCTATGTTCATTCGGACGAATATTAAAAATTGTCGTAAAATATCAAAATAGGATATACATAAATAACATTCACTTTTAATGAATCGATTTAAAGAAGAAATTCCATACTGTAATTAGGTTGAGTAACATTTTCATTTCGTACAGAGTTTCCTCCCTTAGAATGTGAAAGGAAGAGGTCTAATTGGCCTGAAATCAAGACTGCGACTAAACAAACCTTTATAGTACTGGTTCCTGTTGCATTAAATCCATATAAGTTATATAATTGATGTTTTGGCTCTACTGTATTTTTCTAATTCTTAATGTGTATTGAAATATGCTTATTGACTTTGTACAATCTTCTGGCATAGCTTCATCTTCATTTGATAGTAAATTAAAAACAAAAAATAGGTGCTTTATGGTATAGTGTATTGAGGTAATATTTGGAATTTGATTTGTTAAGGAAGAGGTTGAGGTGATTTTATGTTATTTTTCAGCATGATCAAAGCAGCAGCATGTTAACCACAGTAGCCATTTTGATGTGCAACTGTTTTTCATGAACAGAACCTTCAATTTATGAGTTTCTGATACTTTCTAGAAATGATCAAAAGATTTGTCAGACTACCATCAGCAAATTTTGTGGTTTGTCTATCTATCCATTTGTTGATTGTTAGATGACTGTTAAGGACCTTGGTCCTCTTGTTTAATTAACATATCAGAATCAAACACATTTTCTTTACACATCACTCAATTACCAATTTACTTTTTGAACAAGCACCACCTAATGGAGAAAAGTTTTATAGGAGCAGGTAATTAGTACACCCATAGAAAATTATCATAGATGTTACTTTCATTCATGGTGATGTCACATCAACAAATACTGACAAACACATATTAACTTGACAGATGCACTCTTTTACTGAGGATGTTTATTTATTGTGAAAATAATGAAATCTCATTGAATCAAGTGCACTTGCTCTAAGGCAACACCTATTTCATAATCATTAATCAATAAAATCATTTCTCTTCCTTAACTAGCCCTGTACTGCCTACTAGAGACATGCCAGAACCTAACATATTCAAGGAAGTGTTGCCCAAACAGGGCCTTCTGTACCAGGAGGACACTCCCACTGTGGTCCTGTGTAAACCAAAGCTGCTCCCTCTCAAGTCTGTCACTCTGGAGAAAATGGAGAAAATGCAAAAGGAGGCACAAGAAACAATAAAACAACAGGAAATGGAGGAACAGTCACAACAGTCAGATTTATTATATGGAGGTTTCTAGACCTAAAGAGATTGGTAATTATCTGGAGACCGGTGGGGATCTAGCTATATAGGTGGCCATGAAGCATCAGATAAAAAGTGGCTGGTACATCATTAAAAATGCCTTGAAATCTATGTCATATATTATTGAATGAGTGGCACGATTCCTGTGGATACAGTCACCTTTTTCATCTGGTGTGTGTTTAACATCTTCAGACACCAAACTTTGTTTGAGGTTGGCAGAAAGCAGTAGCTGGGCTGCTGTTGGTCCTTGATGAATTCTGTAAACACTATTTGCATAACTTTGATTTGAAAATGGAATATTTTTGTTGTAGATACATATGTATTACTTAAAAGTTAACCTAAACTGAACTGATGTCTTTTTGTTTTCAATATTCTGTAAGTTGATAACAAGTCCAAAAAACATTATCTATGATAAATGTTCAAAGTGAAAATGATCCCTCTTTTACTTTGAAATTGATGTGTGTTAATTATCACTCTTGTATTATATGTTTTATATTTTGTATGCAACTTGAATGGCTTATAAACATACAACAGTCTTGTTACTGTAGATGTAAAAGTAAATTCACGGAGACATAAAATGTATAATTACAAAGTGTTATTTCATGTGTATACTGATTTGTCTCTTCAGAATTAGAAAATAATATTTATCATTATTTATCTCAACATACATTATGTGTTGATAAAACAGCATCACAGTATCTTTGAGTATCAAGACAACTGATTGATAGCTAGTTTAATAGTAGATGAATGGAAATTGTTGTCCTAGTAATGACAACATAGATCAACCATATAGTGCAGTAATAACAACGAGTAAAGAACTGTCTGATTTTGGCCCACTTTCTTTACTTTTGAATACCCTTATTAATTTTTTTCACTTTATATTGTAACAATTTTTAATCTAATATCATTCTTAAGAGAATAAAATAATGCATTTAAAAAGCACCTGTAGTAGTAACATATTGTTCAGGATCATACAGCCTGATCTTGCATATAGAATCTGACAGTCCAACAATTATAGGGATAATTCATTATGGAATATTTGTCAATATTTGTCAATATATTTATCACTTTATGACCAGGACTAGTCTGAAGAAATTGCTTGGGTTTCACTGGCTGGTAAGGACAACAGTCATCTATCCATTGGCAGCAAGTGAAAGTGGTCAAAGGGGCCTATAAAGCAAAATGAAACAGTACTAATTGTAATTAGATGTAAAAAGTGAATACAATTGAAAAACAAAACATAACTGTGGTAACTGAAATAACAAAGGACTCCTGGATCATGATGGTTATCTGAATATAAATACGTATGACAAAGCCAAAATAGGCCTTCATTGCACATATACCTAAGTTTTCAAAAAAAACATTTTAGGTTCATAAAAACAATTTCTGCAAACTTGGTAGCGCTTCTTCCCTGGATGCAACAGGCCCAATATCAGCTCCCTTGGTCTTTGGTTTATTGAGAAGTCATTTAAGTATTTCAATACCCATGTGATCTTGAAAGTGGGTCAAGGTAAAACATATGAACAAAGTTGGTAGCCCTTGTCGCATGCAACAGGCTCCATATCAGCACCCTAGGTTTTTTAGGTCACATGATGACCTATTGCAATCACCTTCATCCAATGCTGTGCATTTGCAAACAATTTAACAGGGGCAAAAGGTCAAATTGACTTGGATTTCAGAAATCATCTTCTCAGGACCCAGATATGGTAGAATCAAATGCTCATCATGAATGGAAGCGACTTTAATTACCAAAATGAGTATCACATTTCTTCCTGGGGAGGAACTTTTTTTTTAGACTTCACTGTAATTTTCATAGCAAAAAATTGCATTTTTTGAGCACAATGTTGATTATTTCCCATTACAAAATAACTTTGTAAGAATAATCAATAGTTTTGATGGTATGTTCAGTATCACAATTTCTGTTTCCTGACACTTTATAACTATCCTTTAACCTTTATATTGGATAATGCCTATCTCAGGTAACCGTCAAGGTTGCTAGGCCACTTGTTGGTTATTGAGAAGAAAAAGATTTTAATATATTTGACCCTTCATATCAGATGACTCAACAAAAGGGCCATAACTCCATTAAACATGAGCAAACTGCAATTCCCTACCGATATTGTGTACCAACTTTGAAGAAAATCATCGAAGGAATTGATTTCATAACTGGAGGTAATTGAAGAGGAAGAAGTGATATAACTCCATAAACCAGATAAAGTTTATGAAAAGGGAGGTGAACATCCTCATCAAATACAGATACTTTGTATGAATATTAAAAAGGAAATTGTAGTCCTGATACTCGGTATGAAATTTCTGTACCATGCTGCCTATCTGTAGTAATTCAAAAGTCAAAGACTAATGTTGTATTGTCAGTCTAGCGAGAATCTATTTTTTGATAGGTTTACAAACGCAAAAGAGTGTCAGTCATTGTAAATATACTGGAAAGTAAAGTTGTTGAGGAAAATGAATGGAAATAATTGGTTTACAACATTTAATTGATTTGACATAAATATTCATGCTAGTAGAAACGTTTTATCTTTCCATCAATGTATGACTATTGCGCTGTTATAAACTGTATAAAATATTCCCTGAATGCAGACGCTTACAGGGGTTGCGGATATTTGGTGTTTTTATATATTTCTATATTAGGGGGAAATTCTGACAATTGATCTGTAACCAAGACAAAATGAAATTGGTGACAGTCAGAACTTGTCTGACTAGCCTACATAGAAACTGTAGATGAATTCTGTGTGTATGTGTCTGTAACTGGTACCAGTACCACCTGTGGGATTCTAAAGACATGGAGAGGAAAATTATGGCATACCAGAGACATACTCTGGTCATCCTGAATTAACCTCTCTACTTATCATTCAAAAAGGTAAAAATGAAAACAAAACAAAAGTGACTTTGAAATTTCACAAAGCCCAAGTAGAATGATTTCTTTTGCAACCCATGCAGTTTTGTTAAGGATGAGATTACCAAAAGCAGCTTTCAGAGTAATTTTTCATATTGACAAAGGAAGCAAGAGGAACTGTCAAGCTAACAGCTAGTGTTGCATGCAACAGTTGATTCCCCTGCTATTAATTACATTTTCTAAGCAACATAGACCTTGATAGTAATGAACAGATGTATCATTTTAACACTTGGAAGTCTTCCCTCCAAAAACCAGTGTCTTGAAAGGAAGGATGACACAAAAACCAGAAAATAATGCAGAAATAAACTTTATGTGCACTCCCTTGTGCTAAATACTGTATGAAGTTTTAACCAAGTTTGTCATCCCTAATTCAATTGGCAAACTAAAACATAGACATATCTGAAAGGTCATGGCTTTGTGTCTGACCTGTAAGGGTAAAATTTAACCTTTTCAGTTACATTGTCAGTATAAAGATGTATAATTTGACCGTGGCCTTTTGACACAATAACTTAAAGCATTGGTCAGTTGATTACTTTTGTTATTCCGACAAACTTTGCTTTCCACACCTTTAAATCGGGACCCAAAAAGGTGGTGATATATATCTATGGTAGTAAGTTACCTACACAGCCTTTACAGTTGACCATTTGACCCCTAACACAATCCAACCCTATATACATGTATTTTCTGGTAACATTAGATTGCATCAAGTTTCAATACAATCGGTCAAACCTATCACAAGTTATCATCCAGAAGCTAAAATATAACAAAAAACTATTTTTAGTAACTTTATTACCATTTATTATTATAAATAACGGACGCAGGTGTGTAGCCCCTATGTCCATATCAATATATAGCACAATGTAACTAATTCCTCTGTACAATGGCTTAACATAAGTTACTGTAAAGGGTTATTTGTCCCGTGTTCATCTAGCCTTATTTCAAATTGTATAACAGTTTCAGCATTGAAAACGTTTTGGGTAAGCTATTCCATAAATCAACAACTCTATATTTGCAGAAATGCTTCCTTGCATCAAGATGACATCGCTTCTTAAATATTGTTTGATTGTGGTCGCTGGTCCTAAGCATATTGTCCAACAATGTTAACAATGACCTTTTGACCCAAAAAACATCCCCACTCTGTATTACTTCACAACCTAACATTGTATGAAATTGCATTCAAATCAATTCATCCATTATCAATTATAATTTCACATCAATTCTCCAAATGCGTCCCACCATCTTGCCTCAAACGGATTTTTGAAAATGGCGCCAAAATGTATTACAGCCACTTCCGGCACAAAAAGGTTCGGAATATCTCTATCATTTTGATATCTTTCTCGTGAACATGTTTGAGGGGTTCGATGTAAATGTTTACATCTGACGTGTAAGAAGGAGAGTCTGCCGAATCACGTTGTGGAAATTCTGATGCAAACCGGGTGGAGTGCAGTATATAAAAGTTAGTAAATATTCTCATTTAAGATGGTCAATTTTAAGTTACTTCCAAGGAGACTTATTTGTTAACAATGCGGATGAAATGACAACCGACATATCTTGCAGCGAAGTAGATTGGTTCATGAGTGTACTCGGCACATGCGGTTATGATTAGTCAGACGGGATAAAGAAGCTGGTAGGCATGACGGTTTAGTTTATTTTTACCAGTTAGTCGCTTTTCTCACCTGTCTGAATGCGATTGCAGAGGCATGACTCTGTAGTTTCTCCAACAATGAGGTTTTTGCATTATAGTCAGGGACGTATATATTTTATGTTACAGATCGAGGACAGAATCCTGATCAATACCACGACAACGTGTATCTGTCTCTTAGTGAGGAAATCCATTATTATTTGTACAAACTAGCTACTATCTTATTTATAACATAGCATTTGATTGTGACCTATAACCATATGTAGCAAGATCCCTCGGTCTCCACACTTACAGACTTGATCAATCTGAATTAAATCAAATTTTTTATCGGTTCAGAGATAAATTTCACTATATTGACTATATAATGAACAGATACAGTGTATGTAGTCCAAATATATTTCTATGTTTGAAATTGGAAAGTTGTTGACAGTTTTAAAAAGGAGGACGCCCATTTAAACATATAATTCTCTACATACATGTAAATAATAAACTCATCACAAAAAATTGAAAGTGCCCTTGGCCATCTGTTTCCTTATAGAGTGATATCCAAGATATGTCCATTTGATTTGTTCAGCCTATCAATTACAACTTGCCAGGTAATTTCTTCCCACCCAAAGTAGCTAATGAAATGGACTGGGTAATGTATTACCTCCCTTGGGTTCTGTTACATTTTGATTTACCATTTCACTAATTGGATTTCTTACTGTTTCATGAAATGCTAACATTTATATTATAGAGCTAGGTAGGCTAGCATTTTTTATTATTTAATTTATTAACATTATTTTACTTATTTAGGGGCTGAAAATACAAGCTGGAGTTAATATTATTTTGCAATTAGTTCTGTTAAGACAAAGGTCTGGGGTTTGAGGCAGATAAATATATATATGTTTCACAAACTTACACTGCAAGAGAGACTGATATGAAAATTCAAATTTTCAAGTTCTGTCAGTGATCTGTTATGTTAGGTAGTGAAATTTATTCTGTTTTGGAAGCTAAAGCACAGATGTGACAGTTATAAGCTACCATCCATTATGACCGTTTATTTAAAAAGTTCTGGAAACAGACTTTAATGAACTTTATTTGTTGTTGATATTTCCGTTGCAATTCATCATGATAAATTTTCACCAAATTGCTTCTTTGTGGATTTTAGACAAGTAAATGAAACCATCTTCCTCAGATTGGTTTACAGTAGTATCATCAGTCACATGTCCGTATGAAAATGTTGCTTACTGTGTGGTATTCTGAATATGATAACTTTCAATTATACCATGTTTGTATTTCAGGACGCTACAATATGGTACCATTAATACAGGGAGTGAGGCTGCTGAACTTTGTCAGTGTGCTGTTGTTTCTTGTCTGCTGCTACCACATGATGGCCAACACGCAGAAAGTGCCACCTGGTGGCGACAAGGTCAGAAACGGTGGAGCACTCACGCTGGTACCCCAAGACCTGAATGATGAGGATGGTAAATATCACAATGAACATTATATTATCTTTTAATATGTTTGATAAATATAACTAGAAATGGTGATTCCGTATAAATATTTGTATGTGCACAGTATTATCATCTTTATCTGACAATAAGCCTAAGTTTAGTAATAAGCCAATCCACAGTTCAAGTAAAAAATCCACTGTGAACAGATATTATGTATGATCAATGCTATGCAATGTGCCAACCTCCAAATGTCAGAGATAAATCTAATGCTTAGGCCTCCTGGGATTATTGTAGGATAAGAATATATATGGTCTATAATTTTGAGAAATAACTACAGTAATATACGTCCCTGATATTTAAGTCCTGGAAAGCACACCTGTAGAATGAATTTAACTAAATCTGATAAGTGTAAGGAAATCAAAGTCATATGTGGAAATCAAGCATGACACTTTGACTGACAGGATGTAGCCTAGGACAGACAGGCAAACCCAATATTTTGAATGAAAAAAGTTTATACACTTCTTATGAAGTTAGAAATGAAATTGATTTGTCTGTCATAAAAGTCTTTATATACATGAAATCTTAGAGTTAGTGTTGCATTGTCTTTTACCAGCTGATGTTGCTGTGGAAGGTAGTGAGGAATTAGAAGAAGGTGTATCAAATATGGATGTGTTCTATCCAACAAAGGAATGGAAAACGGTCAAGAAAGGTATGGCAACTTTAATGTGGTATTTTTAAGATGCTGTGTACCTTATAGCCATCACAAGCTCCCTAGGTTATTTATAGCCTGGACTGAAGTTTACACCTAAAAAAGACCCAACAATGCACATATACTTCTGTAGAAAAAATGTAAAATGTGTTGGAAATCAGTTCATGAAGTAGTTGATGCTATTATTTTATAAATACATGTATATCAGATAAAAAGAAAAGGCAGAAATGTTATAAGATGTGTTTTAAATGACAACTTGGAACTATTTCATGCAGAGATTAATTTGCTTCTTTTCTGTTTGGAAGAAAAATCTTATCATCTACAGTGATGGATTTATGTCCCTTGTCCATACTTTTGAGGTTTCTTATACACTAGTTACTTTGTAATAAAGTCTTAAATATGTTTAGATATTTTCTATTATTCTATGGAAGATATTATATATATTTGAAACAGTAACTGATTTCAGACATAATTTTTAAACTGGAAGTTTGTATTTTAGTTTCATTTTCAGTAGGCCTACCCTACCACCACAGACTTCACAGATTGAATTTTTTTGTAATTACATGATTTATTAAATAGACATTTGACATACTTTTCATTTTTGATAGATATTTGTATATGATAACAGTAAATTAATTGGAAAATTTTTGAAAACTTTCATACAAAACACCACTTACTAGTGTAGAGTCAGCTTTTTATGATAAATAAGCATGGAGGAGAAAAAGATGCTTAAAGAAATTAACTGCAGTCAGCAAGCTACTTAAAGCAGTCTTTAGATTACATCATTGAATTGTGCTAATAAAGATTTGTTATTATTTTATTTTATTGGCAACAGTTCTGATTACATCTTCATGCTTTGTCAATGCTTATGGCCTTAATTGTGAATTTACAGCATACCATTAAGAGCAAGTTTAAACTGTTTAAATGCTTGGACAGCTAATTGGCATGTATGAATTTTCTATATCATGTTATATCCGTCTTGTAAATTGAGTATACTCCTTACATGCTCGAGATGGTTATATTTCACATGTGTACAATAGCAAGCAAGGATTTATCAGCTCACTTTTCTGTTGAAATGTCACTTATTGTGCTGTCGTGGTTGATTGTATCTGGAAATGAAGGCGTAATTGGTTTTATATTTTGACTCAGAAATAAACATATTTCTGTATGTTCTTGGATTTTGGTGAGATAATTAATACATACAGATGTAATGGGAAAGAGTCATGAAAACACAGTCCTAGCTGCTAGGTTTTGAATTAGGTCTATACCTTGTATTCTTCTTCTTTCTGGTTTTCATCTCCACTAATATCAATTATTCTGGCGAGGTATATATATAGCCAGACACTCTATCATTACACTAAAGAGAAACCCCAACTAGCTAAGGTTAGAAAGATGACTGTCTGCCCTCAACTTCTACAACTTCTAATATCAGTAGGACTCATCATCTTAAAGCATGCACTTTGTATTTGAGACCTAATAATGTGCAGAGCTCAAGCTATGAACTGATGAAATATTATTGGTCACTTTTGTGTAAGATCATTTAAAGGAATTAAAAAAAACAGTTAATTTGAAAAAAAAATAGTAATTGATTCATTACTTGTCATTTATAATAATTGATCATCCATGTTGAAATCTCTACCCATCTCCATGAACGCAAGAAAATATTCAAACCTTCAGTGGCCTATAACCATGCACTACACAGCAAAAGGTGTAGATTTCAGAGTCACACTTGACTGGCCGTGATCAGTTATTATCTCTCCAATCGCACTCATCCACCATAATGATCATCATTATTTTCCATTATATTCCATATTGATATATCACTTCCTGTATTCCTTTATTTTAATACACATCGTCTATGAGTGTCTCAACAATTTGATTAAGGTTTTGTTATGGTGAACAATATGTGTATCAAGGTTTTTTCACTGTTTTAGAAGTCACCATCATCATACACAGTTAACTAATATGGAATGTAGACACATCTTTTGTGATCTCAATCTATCTATAGCAAGATAAAATTCTGAATCCTGTGGCCAACATTAAAAAGATGGGATATGCTATATGTTTTGAAAGAAACTGCTGCTTTGAACGTGTAAATTATCACACACAAATATCAACAAAAAGGTAATATCAAATACTGTAAACAATATTGTGTTATTATGTAGGTGAGAGAGGTAAATTACATACCTTAGCAGTGTTAAATACTGAAATTTACATCATAGTTTACTTCAGATAGAAAATACTTTGTTTCCTGTTCATATCTTTACTTTAATTAATATGTACAAACACCTTAAAACAATGTTTATGAAATCCTAGGTCAGTCAGTCCCAGCAGGCCTCCATGTCCGCATGAATTTAGAGACAGGTGACCGAGAGGCAAAGCTGATGGAGGGGGACACAGAAAGCAAATACTGGAAATCAGGTGACAGAGAAGGTAGTTGTCAATGTTGGGTAGTATTCTTGGAGTTATCCAGACACTCCAGTAGGCAACTTTGTTTTGCAGGAGTTTGAGATTGAATCAGATTTTATTTTGCTGCTTACCCAGCCAAGTGAAAAGTTGTTATCTCCCATAGATTATAGAATGCTGTTGATTTGCTATTATCAAACAGTAATTGTTCTGCCACTTAATTTGTTGATGTCATAAACATATGTCAGATATAAATGACATTGATTTCAACATCCTAGATAAATTATGTCAAGTTATTGTAGCAAACAAACACATTCTCGATACTCCAGCAGTTATGATCACTTTTGCTCTCTGAGTATTGAGGATGACAAAACCCAGAAAACTGCTATCTCTATAAAACTTTGCCTGTATTGCAATGCTAACCCTTGCTATGTCTGGTAAAAATGTTGTTGGTTAGAACAAATGCATAGAAATTTTGGAAAGAACAAAAAGGAAAATATAAACATATATAAGGTAAATATTTGTTGGTATTTCACATTTACATGATCAGCAGACTCACAACTACAGTTAAACAAAGAAGTAAAAACAATTAAGATCAGGTATATATCTCATCCGCTAATAAGATTTGTGTGTGAAATTTTGATGTCAAAGAATGGACATGATGAAGTTTTTCATAATTAATAGGCTTTTTAAATTTAGTTAATCAATTACTTAATTGGGTACAATAATCATGAAAAGTGAATGTATTTTCTGTTGCAGAAAATTTTCATTTTTTGAAACCATAAACAAAAATACCTTACTTTCCGTAAGATATTTGCATAAGAATGAATGTTATTGATAATTTCCATCTTTATTATACATATGACTTTCCTTATGGCTAAAACATCAGAAAATATTAAGGTAGCCTTAATCAAATATGAAAAGTTGCAATTGATCATTGGATCAGATGAGGTTGAAAGATTACATAATTGATTATATGTGATCATTGTACCGTGACTTAAGTTTGTTGATGGTTTTTCAGGTATGTTAAATCCAAATGAGAAGTCGTTTACTCCTCAGCAACTCAAAGAGGCATTGAAGGAATTCAAAACAACAAAGTTAGACGAGCAGGATAACACAGAGGTATGTTACAACTGTAAATCCTTAATTAGATATTCTTGTATATATATTATATACCAGTGTGGCTTATATGTTGACACAAAAAAGTGACAGGATGAAAAAAAAAACCAAAAATAGAAGCATACCAGTACACCACTGGGAGACGGTACTGAGTTTTTTACGAGTGCCTGTCTGTTACATGTTTGTGACTGAACAGGATCATCTAGAACCCTCATTTGCAATCGCATACAGGATGATTTGGAGATTGAAATAAAAGTAACATTCTTTTGTATTTAATTAATCATACCTTTTAATATGAATCACAATAATATCTTCTGGACTTTCACAGTTACTTCAAAGCCATAGTGGAAGTTTACAATAGCCTTTTGCATTCGAGGATGGATAGGTCATCAACCACCATGCTTGTTTATAATTTGATATAAAGTATTTATAGTGTACATATGTAAAAATACCACATTGTACCTTTGTTTGTTTTCATTAGAGAGAGAAAGAAGTACTGAAGTCATTTAGGAAGTATGAAGAACTGAAAAAGGAGCTTACAGATATGAATACTGAGATTAAGACCGATGGGGAGATAGTTACAGACTTGTTTCATAGACTCAACTCTACAGACCTTGATGGTGCACAGAAAAAACATCTCTTAGATGATCTGGAATTTTATTTACACCAGGTAGATTTTTTTAATGTATCCACTCAGAAGTGTACACCACTAACATTTAACCATTGTTTTCTGTTATTGAATCTATATACTAAATCATATATATGATTATATTAAAGTATATTATACTATATTTGTGTACTTAAGTTAATAGTATTATTTTTTAATTAAAATTTCTAAACAAGTTTTAGAAACAGGTCTAGAAGTTCCCATTTTTGTGATGCTCTACCAAGCTTACTATGTAACTATCGTAAATTCTGTAAAAATATGTAGCTTAACAAAAAGTTCAAAGCAAAGTTATATACTTTTTGCAGAATTATCAAAGGATGCTTGCTTTTCTTTTGGTTTTGTGTTCAGGATACATGTACATGATCCTTGAAAACAATATAAAATGAAGTCTCCTGAAAATACCTTCATTTGAAAGAAGTATTTAATATGAAGCAGTAGTTATTACTTTAATGTTTGTATTTTCTTTGACAGATTGATAATGCCCAGATATTCTGTAACCTTGGAGGAATGAAACTGTTGATGAAGGGACTAAATGATAGTCTGGCACTCACTAGGGAACAGTCAGCATTTGTCATTGGCTCAGCTGTACAGAGGTATGTTTAAATTGACCTCTCGATGGAAAAATTGTATCCCTATTACTACAGAAGTTATCAGTTGTGTTGTACTGTTATTCTAACTTATACACTGAAGATCACTAGAGCTTGATATTATTGTGAATTGGCTTGTTTTCTAGCTATGTGACCTATAATCTTTGTTTAGGATACAGGTTTTTAAGATATTAGTCCAGATGTCTTTATATCCAGATCTAACCAGAAGTTTATAGAATATGTTCCTGTTTTCCTATATCAAATATAACATTATCTAGTTAAACAGGCTATTGTTGATTGTTTGGTCAATATGAAGAAAACGAAAACCATGATAAGACAAAAATACAGCTGTAAAGTAGCAATCAGGGTGTAATTGTAGTATTTCACTTACATAAAATTTCAACTGAAAACCAGATTATTGATCAGTTAGTTAAATGCATGTTAGATAATGTATTCATCCAGTTCAAAGTTCACCCATATATTTGCCATGTTCTGTTGTTTAGTTAAGGTTTAAACCAATGCTATTTCATTATCCTGGACAAACCTTCCTCCAGTATATTACTGTAAGGTAAAATTATGAACCATTGTTACTTAATTGTCCTGCAATAAGCCTGACCCGTTATATTATTAATCTGTAAAACTATTAACCAATGCTATTTCATCGTCCTGCATTGAGCCCGTCCTGACTTTGTGTGTACATTATAAATTGTTTACCCATTGACAGAAATATGAAATAAGCTTTATACTTATTGATACAAGACATTGACTGCAATAAACAGTAATTAGCTGTGATCATCTTTCAAAAAAATATATTTGAAACCTTTCTGGTTAGCACATATTAAACTGACAATATCATAAATGATGTTAAGTAAAAGTTGTGTGCTTAGATATATGTATATATATCAACACTCTATAAATTGTATTATTTCTCATCATCCCTCAGTAATCCTGAGGTACAGGTCAAGGCTCTGGAGGCAGGAATCTTGCCCCAGCTGATCCGTCTATTGTCCATGGAGCCAGAGGAAAAGGTTTTACCACGCATTCTCTACGCCCTGTCCTCTCTTATCCGGCACTTTCCCTATGCACAAAAACGCCTTCTTGATCTGGGAGGCCTTGCTGCATTGAAGGGCATGCTTTCTAGCACCAAGGATTTCACCTATCTACAGATCAAAGTCATCACTCTGCTTCAAGATCTCATTGTAGAAAAGGTACTTAATCACAGTGAAGTAGGTTTTGTCATAAAGGCAAACAGCAGAGTTGTGTAGTAAGATGAAATGTGTTTGGCAATGTTATTAATGGATATATCCAAGTGTTTTCCTTATTTCTCTATTAAATATGAATATTCCAATAAGTTTCTGATAGCTTGAAAAACAACTTTTTTGTTGCATTGTTATCACAACATCTTGGCCTATTTATATTTCAGGATTTTGCAATATCCATGGAAGAAAATACAGAAAAAGTCAAACAGTATAAAATGTAAGTATTTTCATGAATTTATTATAGTGTCTTCAGTAATAACAAGTATATTTCACAAGTGTGCGTAATATTTTAATATCTTTAATGACTGTGCAGCAATCATGAAAGATATGAAAATATTAGACACACGAGTGAAATCTATTTGTTATTACTTTTAATTATATTTTCACAACCAAAATAGTCAAATTACTGGCATGTTTAGAAGAGATATGAAACAAAGAAGCTGACTAGGCTTTTCACAGACACCACTTATTTATTATAACTTCACAGTCAATACAAAATATAGTCACTTTTTTAAAAATTCATTAAAATATATAACCACAAAAATAAATTGTAATATCAATTTATTTGCATATTCACAAAGAAAATGTTACAAATTCATGTCACAACGAGACAAAATTTGCTTTTAAATGTTCATAGAGAGTTTAACCTCTGTCAATTTTTAAAAAGTCCTTCTGATAAAAAAAGAAGAAATTTAAAGAATATTGTCACTAATTAGTTCATGCTACTGTCTTTAAACTGTGTAGTGATTGGTAGTCAGTATCATTACATTTACTGCTATTAATTGCAGGGTACACCTCCGTGAAGCAATAAAGGAACAGGGCCTGTGTTCATGGTTACCACGCCTTTTAGAGGCTCCAGACCACGATAGTCGGGAGAAAGTACTACAGGCAATGCTGACCCTGAAAGATACCTGTCGGGAGAATATTATAACAGCTAATTCTATCCTACAAAATCTCCTCCAGGAGTACACTAGTTTAGCAGCAGGAGAGACTGAACAAGACGATCAGTATTTTACAGGAATAGCACAATATATTACTCAAATCATTTCATCATCAATCACAGATTCCAAAGATGAACTCTAATGCGCTTCTGGTTTATTAAACATTTTTGATATTCTTTCTTACAATTTATTATTTTCTTCAGTTGAAGTACATATCATAATTTTATTAATTAAATTTTCTTTAAATTATAGTTTGTTCTTGTGTTATGTTTGAGGTACCCGATACATTGTTGAAACATTTGTTAAATCTGATCTTGATGACCTTATCAAGCAGTGTTTCACTTTTATGACCCTGAGATCAAAGATTGGGGAGAATATAAGGATTAGTCTAGACAAATTCTACTAATTCTACAAAATATATACGGAAAAACATTTGGAAATTCTCTCCCAAACAGAGCTAACTAATAATTTTACTTTACATATTTCCAAATCATTAAAAATAATATTAACCTTACCCCGTCATTGCCATATTTTATCCATGTAATCTTCATGTATGTCATATATTTCAATCCTATCTGAGTTTGAATTCTGACCAAAATTGCTTCATTTCTCATAACAGGCCAAAAAATCACCCTTTTCCACAATGGGTTGTATTCCCCATATTTTGATTACCCATGCATACTATTTTTGGTCTATCTCTATGTCTCTTTTGGATGTTCTTTATATACATTTGCTTTATATATAAGACCCAAATGAGTTTGATATTAGTCAAAATACATCACCATTTGTCAAACCTACAGAATTTTAAAGATTCAGAAAATAGATGTCTTTCTTTCCATCAAGTAACTGCAATTTTACTGTCAGATTGGAACCAAATTTGGTTTATATTCTTATATCAGTTGGCTCTCCAGTGAGTTTAATATTGGTCAAAATCTGTTAACATTTGCCAGTATTAAAGGACATCTAGTAATTTCTTTTTTACAGTAAGATTTTAAACCAAATTTGGTAAATTGCTTTATATCATTAAGATCTTGGATTTGTGTGATATTGGTCAAAATCTATGTGTATTAGCCAGAGCTACAGGACTTTCGAATCCTTAAAATTATTAATTTTTTGCTTCATCAAATAGCTATATATGTATACAACTGTACCTTGTATATTTATATAAAAATTCAGATTTGTACCAAATTTGGTACATTGCTTGATATTCACAAGATCTCAATTGAGCTCAATTTTGGCCTGAATCTGAAAATCAGTATTTGCAAGAACTATGGAACATTGGTAATAAAAAATGATAATTAAAAAACTGGGGGAAAACAAGAAGTCATCCTCTTGGTTTAAATAGATGCCTTAGTTCATATGTTTGATTGGATCCATGTTCTAATTAGTATCTTGTACCCTTTTAGAAAATGCTTTGTTATTTGGCGCAGCATTCCTAATGATCTTTCTCTGGGTACCTTGTTCTAGCCTTCATCAACGGTGTCCACTCGGAGGCATAGTCATATTAGGCACCTTCTGGGAACAATTTTTGCTATGCTATTCCTTGAAAAATGCTGGATGGATCTTTCTCAAATTTAATCTGTATGTGCCCCTTGGCCCCTTGTTTCTGGGACTGATCAGAAAAACAAAATGGCTGACAGACAGTCATGTTGGATGCGACTATGAAATATTGTTATCACTGTTTCTCGAAAAGTCATCAATAGATCTTTCTCAAAGTTCGCATAGAATCTATATATAAATTCCCCTGTGTTGTTCCCTTCTGATTTTGGTACTGATCAGAAAAAAAAATGGCTGACAGGCGAACTTCTTGGATTTGGCAGTTAAGATTATTATCACCATTTTTTAAGAAAAGTTTTCAAATTCACATGATTAAAAGGAAAGAAGAGAGAAAAAAGGAAATAGTAAATAAAGATGGGCACCAAGGTCTTGGCTGCAGCACTCAGAAATCAATTAGGATGCCAAATCGAAAATGGCGCGTTTTATTTTGACATTTTGACGAAAACCTATCAAATGAAGCTTATTCAAATTTTATTCGCCTTTTTGTAAGATTTTTAGAAACTCATCTAGAAATGTCTAGGACTAGCTTCATAAAATCTCAGGAAATGAAAATTCATTCACGGCATGTTAGTGACAAAACACAATACAGCTCTACAGGAACAGATATTCATATAATACCCTAATGAAAACTTGTTCACTTGTCACTTGCCTTACATTGAATGTAGATGAAGGAGGTGAAGCCCTTTTTCAACATCCTCAGATGAAAAAGAACCCAAACAAACAAACAAAAAAAGGTGTGTCTATGAAACACTATGCCCCCAGTTACAACAAAATCAAGATGTCATTGTCAAAACTTTTGGTACCACCAGAAAGGGCTTGTCACAAGGAATACAAATGCCAAATATGAAAGCCCTACCTCTTATGATGCAACAGTTATGGGCAAGGTTAAAGTTGACGACAAACAAAAAAAAAAAAAAGGCACCACAAAAACAATATGAGAGCGATCTTTCGGTCCGGGGGCATTGAAAAACCACGTTGTGGCACAAAGTTACGTGTTATTTTGGGTTTTGTCTTTTTGTCGTGTGACCTTGAAAAGGGGTCTACGATGTAATTAATAAGTTTTAATTTAGTTGATGACCTAAAACACTTTTATCTGAGGACCAAATATCAAGACTGAAGTCACGTGATTCTGTTTGCAGAAGTTAGGTGCCTTTGGGACCCTGCACAGGATCGGATACGTCACCTAAAGTAGGGAGATAGGATAGGGGGAATGTCATTATCGTTTGGAAGCCAATATCATACATGTAGTTATAACATCGATGACCACGATCTTTCACCTTCGATCTTTCACCTTCCAATTACAAACATGTAAGGAACACTGTAGCAATTTTCTGTAAAATCACACCAATGTACAGGAGTTGATGGCAATGTGCATTAACAGAATATCTAAAGTAGCTAAGATGATAGTGATATTGACCTTTGACCTTTCGTCGCAAAAATGGAAACCTCTGAAGAAGGAAATGCTATGAAATTTTGTGTTTGATGGTCAAAGTTTCAAGCTCAATAGGCAACACTTGCAGAAATCAATTTTCAAACTAGAGTTACGACTACCATCTATGACGTTTGACCTTCTGAAAAGAAAAGAAATCCAAAACTTTTTTTAAGCAGTACTGGATCACAAATTTCAAATGGTCAGTTGATCAATAAATAGATTATGCAGAACATATTCAGGTTAATAAAGATGGGGCCCAAATGGGGTAAATTTGTGTTTACATGAAATACTTCATCAATTGGTGAGTTATTATGTTCTCAAACGTCTGCTGTTAATTATTTTTTATATCCGATAGCGCCGGGTCTACTCAAGTACTGCATGTCAAATAGTGTATCGTAGTTTTGTTTTTATAAGTTACTACTACTCACAGTTACGGAAATTTACCTCGTACAAAAGTGTTGGACATGTCATAGTGATAACTCGTTAAGGATTATAAGTGAAAGATTGAAAGCATGTTTTTTGTGAAGACGTTTAAAGAAGAACTTTGGTGATTGTTTGATCACGTGCATTTTGTCAGAGTACGCCATTTCTCTTCATTCATCAGTATCAGACCCACTACTACACTCTTTCATCTGGACAATCAAAAGTGTTTATAACGTAATTCAATAAAAGCTTTGAAATTATAATCCTAGTAAGATATTAAAAATTTTGTAGCATACATTCATTATTTATAATCATAAGTATGGATGTCATTGACTATCCATGGAAACACAAGTAGGTCTTTATAGAGCTACTTCTCCATGAAGTTGGAATATCTTTGACCAAGGTATTTAGCTCTGTATGGTTTGGTTATCAACCTACTGTCAGGCATGAAATGTTCTGAAGTCCAATATTATAAGTATAACTGTAAAAATATATTGTTTCATTGTATGATTTCGTTAGGAGTAGATTGCCTAATTACAAGTATTAATTAGGTAATATATCAATTAAATAGTGTACCGATTTTCAGTGCATATTGCAGTTAACCGGTTGTTTAACCTATGCCAGTTTTTTTCTCAATCAAATCTTTGTGAATAAGATGACTAAAAGAAATAAATATACTGAACTAAAAACAGTTGTGTTCACAAGGGACAAGTTGCACAATCGTTCAATTCATATTTAAGCACAATATATATAACCTTAAAAGAGAAATAAAACATGGGAAATTTATCTTAGTTTCAATGTTAGACAAAATAATCAACTCTGATATAAAATCACCGACGAAAAAAAGAAATAAAATTATGACCATAGTAACGTACGAGTATCCTTAATGAATATACAATATGCGGTCCTACTTTCGTTTTGTGTTTAGTTACGCCTTAAAAATGGCGAGCCCCGTACAAAAGGTATTCCAGTCTGCGTACCGGGTGTTTTCTAGAGTGACAGTAGGGTCAAGTGGTTTCAATGATCATCTTCGTGAGGTCATTGTATTAGCTTCTAAATTAACAGCAACAGATGTAAACTTCAGTTTCCACGACGACCCGACAACCCAGCGAGAAGTCGAGGAAGGCGATAGAGCGCCAGCAGTTTACGTCCACTTGTGGGAAGACCGTGTGCTGTCAATGGGGATATTTGTTGTCCGACAGGGTTGCCGTATTCCGCTCCACAACCACCCTAACATGCACGGTGTCTGCAAGGTCATACAGGGCACTGTGCGCGTTAATAGTTTCTCGACCGTTTCCTCGGTTGGTCTCGAGATGCCTAAAAACATAAAACAAGACCTAAAATCATCGGTTTTGTCATTGTTAAAGCAGGAACAATCTCAGTTTACAACAGCGTCGAGACATCAGAGCGTGACTCTGACAACAGACGATCCAGCCTGTGTTTTGTCACCTTCAGTTGGGAACATTCACGAAATGATATCGGTGGATGGTCCTGCTGCTTTTATAGATATCTTGGCTCCTCCTTACGATCACACGACCGGGGAAAGGATATGTCAGTATTACATGGACTGCTCAGAGGACACGCCCACCAGTTCCGATAACCAGGTCCATTGGCTACGTCGCATTCCTGCTCCTCATAGCTTTTGGTGTGACAGTATGGAATATAATGGCCCTCCTCTGAAGATTCCATGATAAAAAGACCTGTCGATATATATATATATATCGGTCCCAAAGACAGTACTTCAATGTTCTAGTACTAGAGACTATATTCTATACCTCCATACTATCACTTTGGCTATTGCAAGTCATTGACATTGTAGATTTTGAAATTACAGGAGAATACCTCATTTGATTACACTCTTTTCAATGCATTATGAATAGTAAGACAATTCAGTATAATAGATTTGATGGAAATATTATAACAGAACATCCATCTAAGTGCTTTTATTTACATTATAGAACCTCAAGGTCCATTGTTCTCAAATGGATCTTACCAGGATCTGCTAATTTTTTGTTAGTTTACCAATTTTACCAGCACCCGTGAGATTCGGGTAAAAGTGTGATTATATCAACGCCAATTTGTATGTTGACAATTCTTAAAACAACTTTAAAATTATCTATTTTGGGTATTGATTTTGAACTTTAACCCAGAATTGGCATCACAATTTCAGTATAGACAGTTATAGATTGTTGTTGCTAGCAGCCCATTGGAATTGATCATCATGAAAGCCATGAAAACAGTCTGTAAAGCATGTCATTGTTATGTTGTATTCTCAAAACTGGCTTTATTGTTCCCACCGCAAAGTCTCAGTTAACCAAGTGAGTTACCCTAAAGATTATATTCCATACCAAGAGTATTTTTTATGGCTGAGATCTAAATTTAGGTCTCTGAAACACTAATAACACTACTTTATCGAATGATGAACCTTGCTTCAGATTTAAGAATAGATAAAATGATATAAAAACTGTTCTTGATCTAAAGCCTTTCTGGAAACCCAGAATGCACATGCACTGCAATAAATGACTTTTAGTTTTTATTGCCTAATGTCATCTGATGAGAGGCATTTGTTTTATCCTCAATTTTGACTGTAAAATGTCCACTTAAACTCAGGGTCAGCTTTCTCTAAACGATAATCTGCTTTTAGGATATATAGGTATAAATGTCTAGAAAAAGAGCACAAAATCTAGCTTAGATTGCAATTGTGATAGTGTTCTTTCAAATCTCCAGAGCAATGTACAATGTAATTATCTATGTAAATTTTCATGTTTTGTAAATTGCCTGACCATGGGAAAGGACTTTCATCATGTGGATATTTTGTGTCCAATCAAATTGCTAAAATTTGTTGCAATATGTTTTGATCAATCTTATGTAACAATAGAAAGATTGTTTTGTCAAGTAGTGTAGACAGATACAAATATTACCTTTAGCACATTGGTAAATGAGTATAACCACAATGTACCATTGCTCATTTACATAAATATTAATGTATTTAGCCCGGATTGCGATTGTTATAAAATGATGTCAACCACTCAACACTGTCATGAAAATGACATCATGAACAAAAGTGTCACCCTGAAACAAGACATATATTTGTTTTGATCTAAATGAATTAGAATAGGAAACCTTGCTGTGTTTTGAAGATTTGGAGGTATTGTGATTGGTTATGCTGTCACAAGTACAAGATATACTTGCAACACATTTTCACTTTTCAGCAGTATAATCACAATACTGCCAAAAATTGCAAAATAAAGCACAGAGTTTGCCCCTAATCAGGGAAGTATTATTCAATGTCCCATGGATACTGGTATTACTTTACCATGGGTCACATAATGTGGTTTATATAAGCTTTATAACCGGAGAAGTTATACTGAAACACAGCCAACCTAGAGGTAAAGAATTATGTAGAAAATATTTGCATTGTGCCATACTATTACGCTTTGTAAATCTGATGCTGCCGTCAGCATTGCGTTGTATAAGAAATCTCTAGTTTTTTATAGTGTTTATTAATTCAAGATATTTTCCTGTGATGATGTTTAATTATCATTAATTAAATTTATCTGTGATCATGAATTATTTGTTTTTCCTGTAGTTGTATTATCACTGTGTTTTTTAAACCTATGCATTCCTGTGTCTAAAGTGTTAGCCTCTCTCTTCATCATTTCACTTATGTAAAAGCATGTCATATTCTTACACAGCCTACAGGAATTCCATTTGTAATGAAATAAAAAGAAGAAGAAATAAAAAAAATGTAAGACACCAGCTTATTTTTCTTAGGCCTGGGTCATGCACCAACGCCATTGTTTCTAAGCTCTAATGCCTTAGAGCTCCTATTGAAAGTTCCGGAGTTCAGCAGGCACAGAAGATTTGGATTTTTTATTGAAAATCTTGTTATTTTTAGCCATATATCGGTTTCATTTAACTATACATTTTGTTCTCGATTCGTAAAAGAAACGCTTAAACCCGATAAAATTGTCTAATGTAGTTGTAGGTATGTAAATCAATGCCTCCACTAATTCAAGCATCCAAACCTTTGTCAAACCTTGTTTCTACCATTCTGTCCAATCAGCGTTACAGTAGTACTGTAATACTGTTAACTGTAGAACTAACAGTTTGTGGACATTGAAAAGTTTTTGAAAATTTGATTTTTTTTCCACGCTGTACACAATCCTCGACATTCCATAGGTTACAATCACTTTCGCTATCTGGACCATGTCATGACAAAATTGAAGGCACCAGTGAAGTAATTTGATTGGCTCCAATAGACAGAAACCGGCAAATCACAGGTTGATATGTTCCTTTGAAGATTACAAAGTAGCGACACCCAGCTTCAAAGCCAGCGTAGCATACCGTTATGTGACCTAGAAATTTGTTTTATGTACATCAAACTGGTCTTTTTGTAATGTCCACAAGGTGTCGCACATGGCACTTCGATATTGGCATAAAAAGGTCCAGAGGTGCAGAGAGCTAAAGTGGTCGTAAACCTGGAGTATTGAGGATGCTTTGTACACTTACACTGTTATTCTCAAATTAATAGTGCTCTATGGGGGTACTGCAAAGTGTTGTGAACTATACTGAAGAGTGTTTCGTGGAAAATACATCAAAATCAAAATACACGGAGAAAAAAATTGTAACTGTTGTCAAATTTCTGTTGGACATTATCTCCTTCAATTTTGGTGGTAAAATCTTCAAACATACTAATAGTATACTCGATGGGAACAAATGTAGTCCCGTATGTTTGACTGACCTGTTTTTGTTTTCATGTGTAGCTGAATCTATTGGAAAACTTGTTCAGAAAAAATACTTCACAAAATTGATATATTAATGATGACTTGTCTTCATACGACAAGAAATGTGTTGACTGACATGACTTTATAAACATGACATATAAACGGAGATATTAAAATGAATTTTGATATGTTGTAGTTGTTTATTGAGAGGTACAGCCCATGTTTTTCAACAAGATAATTTAATAATATCAGTCTTTGTCACGGAGTCCCTCAATAATGTAATAGTCAAAAACCTTATAAGACTCCACAGGTTCTTTAGGGGAAACGTCTTCTAAACGAGTTCCAAAGAGCGCAGCCCAGCAGAGAAAAGTTTTGTTATGAAAATGAGCATATAAACAATATTATAATGAAGTTGCGATCAGGGTGTTTGCAGGTAATACAACACAACGATATATGAAAGAGTCGGAGTCTTAAAAACATACACATGAGAGACTGGGTTTATACCAATGTTTATGAGAGCATTTGTAAAATTAATGATTTGAAAATCAAGATCACAACTTAAAAAACAATGGTGCTTATAGTGTATTATTAATACATGCGTGATTACAATGGGGTGCAGATAGGAGGCGTATCTACATTACTGAAAATGCTACCATTCCACAAGCTAATTGAAGAGGAGATCAATTATGTTAATAGTATCCGGTCTTACCCCTGGTGATGATTAATTATTGCTTACTCTGTAAGGAGGGAACAACCAGTGTTGAGAGCGAATATATATACAAGTATGATATATTTAAATGTTCCATACTCGCTGTCGGGGTATGCCAAAGTCCCAATGAGCATAATGTATGCCAAAAACATGATTTCTCGAAGGTTATGAAGCATTCATATCAATTGATACCCGTTAACACATACACCTGGAATTTCTTGATGCATGCTACAGCTGTTTTAAGGGTCGGAGAAAAAAAATAAAAATGATGAGTTTATATTCTGTACTGAAACCATCTCTTATTTCCTCGGTATTTGTAATACAAAAAAACTAATGTATTGAAAAAAAAATAAAATCAGCCTTTAAGTTATTATTAGAGTGATAAAATGTTAACTAGATGCCAGATAATCGTAAATGGGATTTTCCGGATTAGCAACGGTGCCTGATCCAGTTATTAGTATTTTTTATTTTTAAAGCGTCGGAGTGATGTCTACGTGTATTCGTTAAAATGGAGTCCCTGGAGAGTGGTTCGCCACGACTGACAAACTCTAAATATGAAGGTTCCCCAAAGCGCCTGTATATGGCAGTTGCATTTACATGTTTAGGAACTCTTTCGTTCGGTTTCACCATTGGTTACAGTTCTCCAGCTATTCCAGATCTCGAGAAAGCAGGTTTACTAGATGGGAAATCGCAGTCAGCATGGTTCGGTTCTCTGTTGACAGTTGGTGCTATATTCGGGGGACCGTTTGCAGGGTACTGCATAGAGAGGTTAGGACGGAAGTTTACTATAATCCTTTCCTCGGTAATATTTGCAACTGGTGGAATGATAATGGCACATGCTCACTCAATAACCCCGTTATTTGTCGGGCGTTTCCTAGTGGGTTGGGCCAGTGGCCAGACAACCGTTTGTGCCCCAGTTTACATCGCAGAAATCGCCACAAAATCGCTCCGAGGCTTCTTAGGGTCATGTGTGCAGCTTTCCGTCACTATAGGGATACTAATGGCGTACACGTGTGGTATGTCACTCGGTTGGAGCAAGTTAGCAATTGTTGGAACGTTACCCGCATTTGCTACAGTAATAGCCATGTTTTTCCTCCCGGAAACACCAAGATGGCTTCTAATGAAAAACCGTCGACATTCTGCATTGAATGCATTAGGTGTCATCAGAGGACCACATACTGCAGTTGAAGAGGAATGTCGCGATATTGAAGAGGGGCTAGATAGCCAAGAGTCATTTTCATTTGCAGAGTTTCAGAAGCCTGAACTGTTACGCCCACTTTCCATCTCCCTCGCTATTATGGCATTTCAACAGTTTAGTGGTATCAATGCTGTCATGTTTTATACAGTTTCAATATTCAACAATGCTGGTTTCAAGAAGAGTGCAGAGGCAACTGTGATCATTGGTGCAGTTCAAGTGGTGGCCACTGCAGTTGCTTGTGTTCTGATGGACAGAGCTGGACGTCGTAAACTACTTATTGTGGCTGGGTCAGTGATGGTGTTTTCCTGTGGCCTATTCGGCCTGTACTTTATGGTTCCTTCCCAAAATATGAGCTGGCTTGCAATAACAAGTTTAGTGATATACATTATTGGATTTTCGCTTGGTTGGGGTCCCATACCTATGTTGGTGATGTCTGAAATATTTCCAGCCAGAGCTCGTGGCACTGCAAGTGGTCTGGCAGCCTTCACCAGCTGGTTCACTGCCTTTATCATAACAAAGGAATTCACATTCCTCAATGATGTGTTTGGCCAAGCTGGAACTTTTTGGATCTTTGGTGCCTGTTGTTTGTTTGCTGTGATGTTTGTTAATAAGCACTTGCCAGAAACTAAAGGAAAGTCCTTAGAAGACATTGAGCTTTATTTCCTTGGGAGAAGTATGATTCGCTGAGATAGATGGAATGGTTTTAGAGGAAAGAATATTTAAGATCTCTTTTGATGAGATCAATAATACTACTAAAATCTTCTGACTGTTTGCTTAAGCTTGGAAATTACAGGCTGAAAATAAGAGATGTATTACATTTTACGTTTAAATATTTCATACCCATATTTTTTGTGCTTTTTTGATGAATTAAGATATGATCTGTTTGTAAAGATTTCAAGTAGAAATTAATTTTTCCCCACATATACTTCACTGCTGAATTTTTCTAAGTACGTGTTCATTTTACCCCACAATTTCTTCTGTGTTGTGAATTTTTTCAGGTACAGGTTAATTTTGTCCAAACACCTTTTTCATTGACACTTTTATTAATATATTTTAAGGTAGTTGCTAAAATGGATTTTATTTCTCAATACCTTGCATCCATACTGACATTAAATTAATGCATTGTATAGAGCAGCAAATTTAAGCAATTACAAACCAAAATTTTACGGTATTGTCATCAGGGCAGTATAGATTTTTTAGATCAACCTAGGCTTCACCATATTTTCTACCTACCAAGTAGTTTCAAATTTGGGAAATGTAGAAGTTAAGAGTACATTTCACCTTATTTGTCTCAGTTTAAATTTACCTTCAGTTAAGTGGTAGCGTTTATGGTGAGAGCAAGAGGTCACTAATTTGAGTCCCAGCAAGATTCAGGACATTTTTATTATTCCTCCTTCCTTTTACATATATGTTTTTACTGTTGACAACTCCAAGAGTAGAAGCTATTGGGAAATGAGATGATTACTAGGAGATAAAGAACCAAAGGTTGTGGTTGTGGATGAGGAATATTGTTTAAGTTTAGAATAAAAATACCTCACTAATCTTAGCACTCTTGGCTAGTTGTAAATTTTCTTCAATCTTAAATCCACCTTCGGAGCCAAAGCTTTCTAGCTAGATCAAACATCAGTGGGCAGAACATTTTTAACGATACTTTCCTTCTTATTTGATGTTTTACATTGTTCAGTGGCTCTGAAGTAGAATTAAGATTCAAAGAATAAAAAGAAGGACAACAATCTAACATTGAATCTCCATTGTAATATCTCAAAGATATGATCAGAATACTAAAACGTCATGTGCACTTAAGTCATTTCAATCTGATTAAAATAGTATCTGATCTACATTCATGTTTCATTAAATAAACTTAGTCAAAGACAAGGAAGAGTTTATGGAATGGGAAGACAAATTCGTAAGATTTCAAAAGATTGAAGAATCTTGATTCTTCTTTTCTCTCACCTGAAGGTGTTTTTTTCTATTAAAGTGGAATATTTCTCAAAATTGGCAATGAACAGACATTTAGTTTGAAATAAGTGTAAACTACCAAAATTATTGTGATTCTGGGACTCAGAAATGTAACATGACTTGCTGATATGTAATTAGTGTTGTATACTGTGTAATATACACTGTAATATTACCTGTTAGGGTAATTGTAAATTGTGGACAGTGTAATACAATGTAACCTGTACATTGTAAACAGTGTAACAATACAGGAACACATTGTGTTTCAGTTTAAACATTGTAAGACAGTGTAAATATTGTTGTGCAAAGTAATAAGTTTTGTACTTATATTTCTTTACATTGTTTACAATATCCACTGTAAACATGTGCAGTGTCAACACCAGTAACACATGAGATACAGTATAAGACAAAGTAGTCCAAGTTTGATGTACTGTAATATACAAAGAGAATATATGGTCAGTGTCTTAAAATACAAGCTATATGTTGGCAAGGGTGAAGGCCGTGATAAACTTGTTTGTATAAATTGCCTGTATATGATTTGTGTGTTCAGTTAAGATGACTTTCCCAACACTGTTTCTTACATCGTTTTAAAATAGTGATAATCTTGGTGACATAGTGCTGATCCTATGCATCTCTTGAGATCTGAATCCTGGTATATTTATTACTAGATATTGTCCTGCACATGTAACAGATTTTGTTTACAAGTTCATAATCTTTGTGCCGAATTGGCTATTGACTAGTAACTCATTTTCATTCTATGTCTTTTTACCTAATGCCAAGAAATATTTAAATACTCATAATTGGGATTGTAATTTTTGGTGGAGGCAACATGTCTTTGTACAAATTCCTTACCTTGTGTTCTAGATGTGATTTATATGTCTTTATAGATGAAGTTGCACTTTTGACCCTTGATAAACTGCTGGGAATTCAGCCTTTTCTTGTCCATAAATCTGATATCATAAAGACATATCTTATGAAATGATGATGACTGTAGCGAAGATATCATTAGCCTTTAGTCTCATGGGGAGAAGTGATGACCAACATTCTTCAGTGCAGACTGCAGTTCTCCTACTCCTTGCGTAAAAGTCATTCATCAGATTTTTCTTTTATCAAGATCCAAGTGTGAGTTCACGTCTTCTTCATTCTGTATTTTTTATAGCTTCTGTTTAGCTCATCTATTAAAAAAATAGAGGGGCTAATTTAGTGATCCAGGTGTTGGCATTGTCCAGCCTTATCAAGTGTTTTAAGTTCTTGATCACTAAGGTTGGGAGAAACTTTTACTTTAAAGTGTTTTTTTTTTTCAAGCAGTACCGGGTAACATATGTCAATGGGCAGTTAAATATTAAATAGTTCCATCATCAATAGAAATTATCAGCAATATCCTTAACATTATTTTCATATTTATGGGCACAAAAATGGTAAATTTACATGACATAGAACCAATGGCATGTTCTCAAGCAGCTCTCGTTGAATATAGATTATCATTATCCACAGGTCATTTATGGCAGTACATTTTCCAGTAAAAATGCAATATTGAGTGTTAGATTTCAAATGTTTTTCCCTTTTTTGTGATGACTAACTTTTAGTCCCTAACCCAGTCTCAGTTCTCTTGTGGGTGTAAAGAGGAACAGTTGCCAGGAAAAATTGGTTTACTTTATAAATCATGAAGAACACTGCTGTTGACATTGCTTATATTTTTATACAATATCTATCAGATATACCAAACCTCAAAAAAAATTATATCACAAAGGGACATAACTCTATTACATAAAAAAAGGAATTGATATACGATATCCATGACAAACCAAATCTCAAATGATATATTGGCAAAAGTGATTTTTGTTGTTACAACAACTCAACAGTGTAATTATATGATTGAATATGTTATTGTTCTACCTCTTGTATATGTTTAGTGGAATATTCTTCACAAATTTTAGCTATTTTGTTCCCAAATGGAAATCTTCCTAATGACATAACTATTGTCAGCATTAAAACATCTTTACTAAGGTCAGTTTACACAGGTGAAATTTCTAGAGAATTTCATGCAAAATATAAGGTAATACAAAGGTCTGTACACTGTTCACTTAACATTTCTGCTGGAATTGGAATTCCATGGATTGGTTTGACTTATTTCTTGTCAATATGAAAATATATTCTAAAATTTGGACAGAGGCTAGTGACAAGCAAACCTGTTGTGGCTCAATCATGGTCAAGTTAATGTTTATAAATCAATCTATTGATTTATGTAAATTCAAAACATTTTGTATGTTTTTATAGTGAATCAAGGTGTACTATTTCTTAGATTCTTTTTTATTGTTTTTATAAAACAAAAAAGTAGAAAGTTTGTAGGAAAAATATGATTTTGCTTTGAGTACTGGGAATTTCATCTTTATGCTGATTTCAAATGTATCAGAGGTAAGTTTTTGTTGTTGTGGCGGAGGTTGGGAATTGGGGCTGAGGCACAATAACTTGGTAACACATCGGAGGTGTGATGTTTGCACCTCACATGAGTCAGTTTGTTTCTCAGGAAGTTGAAATATCTCAAACGATCATGTGCTGTATTGTCCTGGATTGCATGATGTCTTGTGAGATAATAGCCAACAGCCACGACAAGAGCACCTTGCCTAAAAAACATATTTTTTTCTGCGGAGTGACAGTACTGATACACCCAGCAAATAGTTTCTTGTTTCATTTCTAGATCAGTTAGAAGTACATTTGTGTGTAAGCATTGATTTCCTTTGAAATTACTATCATGTTGGATTTCTTCTCCATTACTTCCTAAACTCAATTTATGTCAGTATACCATTACTTGTTATTTATTGGTAAACTGTTTTACACATAATCTATGGTTTATTATTCCATATGTAAACATCTGTATCTTACTGATAGCTTTCTATGTAATGATGGCTCTGATATTATTTTTGTTCTGTTTTTTATATAATTTTCAGTAGTTTATGTATTGGCAATTAAGAAGTGAACTGTTGTAGAGGTCAATTCAGAGACTGTGAATATTAATTTAAGGTTTCAATTCAGATTATTAGCCATCACATATTTTATAGTTCAATTATGATTAAATGACAAAACTTTTCAGGAGTACAGCTATGATGCTTGCCTGCAAAGCTTTGTCATTTGTAACATAAATACCCATATGCATCTTGATAACATTTAAACACTGTTGTTTTTTAGACATTCCTTTTCTATTTCTTATTTTACACAGTATATCTAAATGTTATTTCCATTTCAAGGCTGTTTAATGTTTTTATTTATCACCTAATGTTTATTCTACTTTTGAGAATATACATATAGGGACATGCATATTAAATATGTAGTTGATAAAAAATACTTCAACCAAATACAGTGTATTATATGTGTGCTAATATTTCTTATTTATATGGAATATCTCGACACCCTCAGTTTGAAAAATGTGTATGGTTAATATATTATTTGCTAACAGACATATAAACTGTATAAAAAAAATTCTAATTGATTGAAGTTCATATACACCATGTATATGTATTGTTGGGTTTGATGAAAAATAAAAGGTAAAACAGGACTTTATGTTAATCTTTTTTCATTTTAATGTACAAGAATAGTTTGAACAAGTGCATATTTCATATTAGTAAATATCTTAATAAATTACATTAAATCTGAAAACGACTGATATTGCCTACTTGTACCATGACACAGACTTAGATATCTGTTTGGGATATTCTGATCACAGTGTGACATTTCTCCCTGGAAATATAAGCTATCCTTCCACTACATGTCTGTAGACAAGTTCACTGGTTTCAATAATCCCTGTAACAGCTCCTAGTTATTCAAATAGAGGAGGACCAGTCCACCAGTTCTAGGTGATTTCCACGTCAGCGTTGTATAGTCTTAAGGATATCCTGAATGTCATCAATAGTACTCATACTGAAACACAACCAAGTGCCAATGTTTTAAAATAGTAAACAACTAAATTTTCGAATTTTTATGGATTTTTGTTTTTATTTTAAGAAATGTGAAAATTCCTCTTCAGAAATAGCAATAATAATTTTTAATGGTCAAATTCAACATGAAATATAAAATCAAAAGGCACAACCTGGGACCAAGTGAACCCTAATATGAAATTTTCAGAAAGATCCATCCAGTGCTTCTCACAAAATAGTCATAACAAAATTTCATTGTCAAAATCCAATATGGTCTCTGTCTGTCTTGTCTTTTTGCTGATCAGTCCCAAATCAAAAGGCCACAGTTAGGGACCAAATGGGTCCTACATATAAACAATGAGAAATATCCATCCCACACTGTCAGCGATTTTTATTTTTCTAATCAGTTCCCAGATTTGAAGAGCACAAATAGGGACAAAGGGAAACCTACATTCAAACCTTGGTAAGATCCATTTTGTAATTCTCAAGGAATGGTGATAACAAGAATTGTTTTAGACAGACTACAGATGAGGGGAAATTAGAATAACTCACCATCTGAAAATAATGTTGAGTCAAAAAGGAATCCAGCAATATTCATTTTACAACCTAAAATCGCATTCTTCTATCAAACATATTTAACAGTGCTGTATGTTTTAATGATAAAGCACACCATCTTTTAAAGAGAGAGATGGAATACTGGAAAAATCTCTTGACAAAAACTGAAGGAGATATTTGGATAAGATAAAATTGTTTAAAAAAAACCACAAAAACAAAAAAGAAAAAAAAAGAAAAAATTGTAAAGTCATAAAATCACAATGTTATTTTAACATTTGGAAGGTTATGGCTCTGACAATATCATATAAGAGCACAAACAACAACAGGACAACAACAAAGATAATGACGAAAACAGCCAATACTTTTAAACAATGTCTCTTCATTTGAAGAGGAGGCATATTAAACCAACATTTTTAGAATCTTTTTATGTAACAAAGTACTCTGTAACAACATGAAAAGCTATATATCAATAACAGATCCATTAATGGCCTTGACAAAAATCAAAGGACAATACTTGTAAGTAAGGGATAGGAGGGGTTGCGGCGCAATATTTTCCCAATCCTTAGTTGTACAATTAAAAATGAAGAACTGAATTATGGTCTACGAAAAACTCAAACTGGAGGTTATAAGTCTGGATAAAGAGGCTGACAAAATTATGTCCAGAAATATAAACCCATAACCTGTAAAACGTAATATTATTATTACTCTATAATTATCTTCTTATTCTGACATTCATCACCAAGATAGAAAATGCACATTCATTATTATGGCTATTTCTTAGAAATTAACAAAGTAAAAATACAAAGCAGTTACAGATGTATTGGATATTTTGATTCTGCAGATATGTGATGATAAAGCTTTTCTTACATACCTTCGAACCATGGCTGCTTGTCTGAAAATAAGAAAGATAACATTAAAAGTAAGAAAGATAGCATAACAAATAAGTAAGATAACATAACAAATAAGTATAACATTACAAATAAGTAAGATAACATAACAAATAAGTAAGATAACATTACAAATAAGTATAACATTACAAACAAATAAGTAAGATAACATAACAAATAAGTAAGATAACATAACAAATAAGTAAGATAACATAACAAATAAGTAAGATAACATAACAAATAAGTAAGATAACATAACAAATAAGTAAGATAACATAACAAATAAGTAAGATAACATTACAAATAAGTAAGATAACATTACAAATAAGTATAACATTACAAATAAGTAAGATAACATAACAAATAAGTAAGATAACATAACAAATAAGTAAGATAACATAACAAATAAGTAAGATAACATAACAAATAAGTAAGATAACATTACAAATAAGTAAGATAACATTACAAATAAGTATAAAATTACAAATAAGTAAGATAACATTACAAATAAGTAAGATAACATAACAAATAAGTAAGATAACATTACAAATAAGTAAGATAACATTACAAATAAGTATAACATTACAAATAAGTATGATAACATTACAAATAAGTAAGATAACATTACAAATAAGTATAACATTACAAATAAGTATGATAACATTACAAATAAGTAAGATAACATTACAAATAAGTAAGATAACATAACAAATAAGTAAGATAACATAACAAATAAGTAAGATAACATAACAAATAAGTAAGATAACATAACAAATAAGTATGATAACATTACAAATAAGTATGATAACATTACAAATAAGTAAGATAACATAACAAATAAGTAAGATAACATAACAAATAAGTAAGATAACATTACAAATAAGTAAGATAACATTACAAATAAGTATAACATAACAAATAAGTAAGATAACATAACAAATAAGTAAGATAACATAACAAATAAGTAAGATAACATTACAAATAAGTAATGATAACATAACAAATAAGTATAACATAACAAATAAGTAAGATAACATAACAAATAAGTAAGATAACATAACAAATAAGTAAGATAACATAACAAATAAGTAAGATAACATTACAAATAAGTAAGATAACATAACAAATAAGTAAGATAACATAACAAATAAGTAAGATAACATAACAAATAATAAGATAACAAATAAGTAAGATAACATAACAAATAAGTAAGATAACATTACAAATAAGTAATAAGATAACATTACAAATAAGTAAGATAACATAACAAATAAGTAAGATAACATAACAAATAAGTAAGATAACATTACAAATAAGTAAGATAACATTACAAATAAGTAAGATAACATTACAAATAAGTAAGATAACATTACAAATAAGGATAACATTACAAATAAGTAAGATAACATTACAAACAAGTAAGATAACATTACAATAATTACATAAAACAATAACAAGTAATGGTTGTGACTGCAGGATTTTGAACCTTATAATTTGTAAAAATAAAATGTCAAAGTTTAGTAAGTATTTGAACTAAAGGAGCATTAAGATGAATACAAAGTAGACTACCCTGATAATAGACTTTTAAGCAATATAAGTTCTCTACAGTTTGGCATTAGGTGGTTTATAATGCAGGTAACTTTTTGTCACAAATGCACACGGAAATGACTTACTGGAATTCAAGTTGTGTCTTGATATTCATCATTTTCTTCAATGACTGTAAACAGAAAAGTACAATCATAATCATATTCACTGTTTATATTTTTTTTAAAGTTAACATAAGTACTGATACTGCATATGACCTGTCAAATACCTGAAGATCTCCTAGACATGCATACCAGCAAAATCTCTGTGGATATTTGTCTTCATCTTGAATTGGATTAAACAATTTATCTGAGTGTCCATCCCAAGATGTGGAAGTGTTGCACTGACATTAAAAATTTGTGGGTCTCTGGGTTTCTCAAACATTCAAACATATCACAGTTTCCAATTCAGTTTCATATCTAAACAAACGATGAGTAAAATTAACTGTACTCCACATAATTAGAAGGGATCTGAATTATTTCAAGGTAGCTCATTTTACTTCCTGTGTAAATCAAGCAACAGAGCTTGACCTTGACCTCCTCATCCTAAAATGCATAACAGAGTTTAGAATATTATCACAGATTAAACAATGTTCAAATGAAGAAAATATCATAACTGGACTATTCTACATTGTTGAGATGGTTCATGCAAGTCTAAATTTGGAAAAAATGACCATTAACATGTCTCATTTCTGATATTTTTTAAAGAAAATAAATCCCTGGTAACATCATTTTCATGCTATCAATTTTAATGGTTTCCAATCAAGTCACTGAATACTTGATTCTGATGACTTAAAAAAACATAAGCGAGTTATCTTAATAGCTTATATCTAGCTAGTCAAGATACATATACTGATCTAAGCTTACCTCTGAGGAGTTTTGAATGATATTTTCTTGGTATGTAAAATTTTTTTCTGCTTGAGCTAACAGCTGAAAAGAAAGTAGGGAAGAAAAAGATGAATCACAATCTGTTTTAATTCACTGATATTACATCCTGCAGATTGAATAATATCTATAAATTTCAACACACATGTATTGCTAAGAAACAGAGTGTGCTGTCAATTTATTATGATGATTTTAGCATCAAGTTTAGACTAAGTCTCTAATTGCATTCCAGTACATCAAAACAAAGAGATTTGATCTGATACACAAGTCAACAGTATAATTTGAACCATGTTACTGAAATTAATTTTGGTGACAGATAAATCTTGATGATTTCGACATTGGAAATCTGTCTATACATAAACACCTGACTAGGCTATGATTATGACAAGTTTTACAAGAATATCAAAATCAGACTCTGAGGACCTTTTGTTAAGGAGTTGGACCAGCTTTTCTTTGGCTCCTACACCAGAGAACATGTCTTGTATTTAATCAGGAAATCAATCTGTCAAAATGTATTTAAATGAAGATGTACGAAGAAAAACGTTAGTTATCAGGAAGTGTTTTGATGTGTCAAATAGCATGTGGATTGACCCATTCATGTATAGAGGGTACCACTACAATCCATCAAAACTGGTGATATCGCAAATCAGCACTAGTGGTGAGTGTCAATGACATTAGTACAAAATGCATGCTAGTACCTCGCTTGATTTTGATGACCTGACCACATATCTGGTCAAAGAGCCAAGATCTCCGATGTTCTGTGATACCTTCTCGTTAAGACGAGTCTTTGTCTCAGCATTCCATTGAATCGAAGTCATCTTTCACCCCATCCGTAATGAGAGGCCTCGTACGTATCGATCTTCTAATCGAGAGACCGCGAATAGCTTGCGATTGACGGAGATTGAAGTAACTAATAAGAAGAACCAATGTAGGGACACTGCAATGCGGAGGAAAATACCATCGAGTCGTTGGTCTGTTCGTTAAATGCGGTAACCGGTTCAGTCGACACTAAAAATGTAATATTTAAAGCATGAATCGGGACGGAACAACAAATACTTATAAATATCTCAAAAAGTTTACTTAAAGCTCGCTCGAGAGCAAGATAATACCAGTAGGTCCGTCCTTATTCCATACCAACAAACGAAAACGGCCGTAAATAAAAATGGGCAATTTCAGCTTTATTATTTTTTATGTCCATTGTATTAAATTATACATTTATAATATGAAAATATTTACAACTTCTGGTGATAAACTATAACTGTGTTGAATACCACGTACTTATATAAAGACATGGATGATACTGTGATAAGAAACTACTATCTCTTTGTAATGCTATTGCGAATACATTCGAATTAAATAGCCTTTCCGTGTTTATATATCTGAATCATTTCAAAATCGATTGTGCAACCTTTAGTGACAAATAATTTCTGTCAACATTTGGTATTTATAAACTGAAACAGACTAAACTGTCCATTTAACATCTTTACAGTTATAAATGTCGATCCATACTGTCAGAGACGTATATAACACGTTATATACGTCTCTGATACTGTGTATCACTTTCAGTCCGAAGTATGAAGAAAATCCTCTTTAAATCAATGGCATTAAAAAACAGAGAAATTTCCCGATTGTCTTATATTAGTTTAGTAATATGTCATATTAATTCATAAGTACTATTTTTGTTACGAAAATAAGATGCTCACTTCTAACTAGTCGACAAAATAGACCTGGTCGTACCGGTCTGTGTAACGCCATTAAACAGAAAAATCATACATGCATATGATTGGTTAAAAGTTATAAAGTGAATATATTTGTTGGTTTTGGTTTCACCGTGGACACAGATAAATGACACAGGCAAAACTTGTTTGATATTCTTAAACAACCCTTCTCGGATACATCACTCACTCTGTCCAAAACCCAACAGTGTACTTCTACAGACATATATATGTGGTTATACATGTAGATAACAAAATACTATCAAAAATAACTTCGCGGAATGCCATACTGACCCAAAATGTTTCTGCTAACACTGTAGATGAGTGTAGATCTGCTATCCCAAAATACATCTTTTCAACCTTGTAAACTCATCAATATATGTTAGAGTAAAATAAATAAATAAATAAATAAATAAATTTATAAACTAAATTTTCTTAGATTACCAGTGCACATCACAACAGTCAATAATTCTTTTCTCGTGATACTGTTTTGATTTTTTTTTTTTGTAAAATACAAAATAACTTTCACGTCTGGCAGCTTTAAGATAATTTGACAAACAAGCGTCCAAGTGCCAAGATGAAAACATGATCATGTGACCAGCATGTATTTATCGCCATTTTGTATTGTGTTGGCAGTGTTTCCGCTGATTGACGACAAGTGACAGTCGTTCTTATTTTCTCGGTTTAGGGGATACTCAGGAATTTATATTCATTATAATCTCCATCATCACCAGGAACAATTGTAAACATCTCCGAGAAACCGGATATTTATGAATTGTTGGTAAGAATTGCACGAGGAAATCCTAACGAAGTATGAAAATCTTGTTGTCATTTAAACATCAGAACATACGAGGCCTCCATATTAACCCCATGATAGCTGCATTTCAGACGGCACACAACACAGACATGTGTTCGCCGCAGTTATCGTATATATGTCAAAGAAACATAATCTTTAACTGAAATAAGTCACAATAGCTACCACCGTAAAGTGTTCTTGAACATAAAGTATATTTAATCAGGAGTTGTTGATTTATGTAATTTGCTATTGTCAGTGAGTTAGTCCTTTGGTGACAATCTGAAAGCATGTGAGATTCTCGTGATGATCATGTAGTGTTTTTGGTGGTATATTCCCACATTAGAATACTTTCAGGATATTGTCTGTATATATGTTTTATACATCATGTACATTCCCAGATCTCCTGGCAGACTAAATACTGTACCTGCTATAAATGTACTCCGCCTATATTTACATGATCGTTTTAGAGTCATATTATGAAGTGTATTAAAATGGAATATTATTAAAAATTCTATGCTTGATAAGTGATCAGTGACACAAGCTAATCTTTGTTATAGATGTTCACAGATATAATGATAAAATATTAAAAATCTTTTTATTGAAGGTACTCTGACCATGTCAGGTGTTGACAAGGAGAATGATGATGTAACAGAAAACCCACACCCTGAAGATGAAGCAGACAGTGACCTTCCAGAGGGAGCTGAAGGTCAGGACCAAACTGAGGATAGAGCAGAAGGTCAGGAAAAGAGTGAAGAAGAGAGTGAGGACAGCATAGAAGAGGGCACGGAGGCGGAGCTGGAGGCAGAAGATGAAGCAGGGGCCCATCAAGTTGTGCCCAGATTACTGGGATTCGCAGGGAATCAGGATGAAAAGATCCACCCTGAAGCAGGAGAAGAGGCAGATTCTGATTCTGAAACAGAGGACTTCATTATGCCAACAGCTGAGGGAGCATCCCTTGTGGAGGGTCAGCAAAATAGGAATTATGAAGGAAAGGGAGATAATCTTAATGAAGAGGTAGTTTTAGACAATCCTTCTGGAGCTAATGGTATTGCTGGCATAGCTACAAACCATCAACAGTGTTCATTGTCTTGTGATTTGGCAGAAGCAGATGTAGGTGTGATCAATGCAAATTCTAATCTTGAAGACAGAGACACAGAAACAGAATCTGACAGACATCAAGGTAATAATTTTGGTGCAGAAAATTCACCTGTTGTTGGATCAGCAGGAGATTCTGTTGAGGCTGATACATGCACCTGATGAGGTCAGTGAGTCTGTTGAAGCAGATTCTGGTATGCCTAGTGGAAATGAGTGTATCAGTAACCATGGTTTGCCAGAGAGTAGTGTATTGAATACTGAGCAGTCCAAGCTAACAGATGCATGTGGGGGAGTGGATGATGAAAGTGATGAATCAGTCAGTGAAAGGAAAAATTTGACTGAGGATGCCAGTAATATTATTCTGGAGGATGAGTTGGGTAGTGTTCATGATAAACAACTACTTAATGTTAAAAAGAAACTCCAGCGTGGTGAAAGTGGGGAGTCTTGGGAACCAGAGTGTGATCAAGACTCCGACGAAATTCGAGGGTCTGCAGAATTATTTGATTCTGACAGTCAGCCAAATATTAGTCAAAGTCATATGAAGCAGGGACAATCCAGTACTTGTGAGATACCAAAACCGGTTGTGACTTTGGATGGTGAAGTACAGCAAGGTGCTGTAGAAACTTCAAATCATCAGTATTCATCTGTTTGTTTACAAAATCAACATTCTAGTCAAAGTGGAGATCACTCAAACACTTCACCCAACTCAGTGTCAAATGTTTCAGAGATTCCTGTGAGTGGAGACTGTATTGCTAGTAAGAAAGAGGGAGATATTTCACACTGTGATACAAGTAAAGGAATTAACTCTGTGTCTGCAAGTATTGTAAATACAGATTCTGCAAATACAGTGACTAACAATTCAGAACGTAATATTGATGAAAAACATTCCTCTGAGGATTCTTCAGCCTGTCAAACACACAGTGATAAAAATTGCAGTGGAATTAGCACAAATGGTGTTGACGAACAAACACATGAGGGGGGTAACTTAAAACAAGAAAACATCAAGGGAGATGATTCTATGACTAATAGTGAGTACAAAAATTCAGACATAAGTCTGAGTGAGAGTAAACTGTCAGATGAAGCAAAACAACAAAACTGTGATATGGTTAAGCAATGCTTGTCAAGTCCAGGAGATATGGTGGATGATGACCTTTTAGATGAGCTGGAATCAGAATTGACCAATCAGAATCCAGAAAGGTTGCCAATTAGTGCCATTGACCCAGATTTGACATTGCCACTAGATGACGAGAGTGGAGATGCCACTCCCACCGGTCATAGAAGTCCAGTGCCTCCTAATGGCTTTGTTGATGTGGGTATCCACTCGAAGCTAGTACAAAAATTACAAGCCTTACAGCAAGAGATAAAGAGGACCAAAGCTAACCTACAGAAAGAACAGCAGGAAAGCCGCAGGTAAACTGGCTAAAATACATAACTACAATGTCTGATGGGAATGTGGTTTGTTTGTGAAAGCGGTCATATGTGGGGTTATCATAATCCGCTAGGTCTCAAAATATTAAGTTTAAATAAAAAATCAATGGGGCTGCATTGGCACAGTTGGTAAGAACCTTGGCATTTGTAACTTCGGGTGAAGATCTGGGGTGCAAGGTTTGATGCTTTCTGCCTATGGCAGTTTTAGGTTCACTGCAAAGTGAGAAAAGGGCAATAAACCCAACAATGAAAAGAAATCATCAACAACATGTGAGGTAGTTATCATGAAGAAGTCTTATTCATCATTTTTGATATTGCAATCTGCTAGAAGTTCCAATGAAATCTCAGAAGTTGGTCACATATTTTAATATTCCCTCTTTGAGTTATTTTAATTAATAAACTTGATGTATATATCAACCATATGGTTCTTCAGTGTGCAATATGCTTATGCTGACACTATAAAATATCAGCTATCACTAACTGAGGAAGCCTGAAAAAAATTTTTTTTCATGTATACAGTATTTTAATTCCTGATCATAATCATTGGAGTTCTTATCCCCTAATCTACAAACTTCTGTGGTGCTCTGTGATGTCAGAAACAAGTCACGTTATGAAAAATGAAAATTGCAGTGTAATATGATTTCTCTTGCTTGCTATCTGATCATGATGACAGAATCCCAGGACGAGGTAGACTTACTAAATATAAAAGAGTCTTATCAACTTCACGCTAAGTCTGATTAGGAAAATACATTGCTGTGTTCAAAGGCATCATAAACCAGTGCAATTTAGCATATTATCACATTAATGTTATCGTCTACCTGGTAGGTACATAGGCACAGCTGTGTATTTATATACACACAAAATTCAATAATACTGGCCTGCAGTGTACCCATGGGATCAACAATTTATGTCTAATTTAAGTAAGAGGGGCAAAATTTTATTTACAGAATGAATAATGAATACAATTATAACAGAATTCTATTTTGTAAGAAATGGTTTGATTATCACCAGATCAATTTCTAATTTAAATTCTGTGATGTTTAGCTCGCCTCATAGTTTTTTAATATGTTACAGCTATGTAAAGTATTAAATGATACAGCATCAAAATGTCAAGGTTCAATAAGCAGTAAAATTGACAGAATGTACAACTGTCTTCTAACAACTTCTTTTTGGGAAAAAATGGTATTTAAGGCCAGGATTAGGATATCAGGCCTATGGGATTTAATGTTCTGCCCACGTGAAGGAGCATTTAAGGCCTTAGGGCTATCCAGTTAATTCAGAAGAATGACTTTGGCCCAGGTAAGACATGTTATAATCTTTAAATGATTTCTTCTCAGTGATGAAAAGCCCAGCGAACATGATATTTTGCCAGACTCGTCCGCTGAAAGACTGAAAGGTCGAAAAAGTGGATGTAAAAAACCTGTTAGAATAAATTAATAAATAAGATATTTTGTCAGCAGTATGTGAGGGTGATGGGCTTACATGTTTACAAAAAATAGCTCTTCTGTCAAAAGTTTTTGGTGTAAAGCTGCAGCCACAGAAGAGGTAAGCAAGACAGCCCAGTTAGCCTTATCTGGTTGTCAAATTGAAACCTGAAGCATCAAATAAAATTGTGTTTACCAGAAAGTAAAATTATCTTACTCAGTGTATAGATTATACACCAGCAACTGAGGAGTATTTACCTGTGTATAATGTACATGGAAAATTGATATTCTTTATTCCCTTTAGGATTCAGTGTAAATATTGTAAAGTCATATTATCAGTGTGTAGACATATTTTCAGACTTGGATTGGATGTAGATGCAATGATAAATCTGTCCTGTTCTCATAAAATTTTTATTGTTCTTATATAGAATATGTGGAAGCTTAAGCATTTAAATTTTACATTGTGGAACCCATTGTTGTTGACAATAAAGTTGAAAATGACTCGTAAAAAATAAATTGTATATTGATCACTGCTGGATATTGATCAAGAGTAAATGATGAATGTCCATATAGCTGTATATGTTATACAAGAGTATCGAAATGGAGGGTTATGTGATTCTCATTTTAATCCAGTTATAGCTTATCTTGATGTGCCTGGGACATCTCAAATGTAACAATTACATAGTGTATTTACTAGGTATATTATAATACAATTTATTATATAGTACAAGATATGGTTTAGACTTGAAGAGACCTGTGTTTTACAGATATATTTGAATGTGCACATGTTCCTACTGGCAGCATGGCATCAAATTTGGTTTCACATCAGCAGCGAATAAGTCTGAGTTTGATTCAGGACCCCCCTCCCTCGTTAGATTTGAGTCAGGAGAAATGATTTGGGTCCCTCCCCTTTCATGTTTGAGTCAGAGTAAATGGTATGAGTCTTCAGCCTCTCATGTTTGAGTCAGAGTAAGTGGTTTGGCCTCTTCCCTCCTTCTGTTTGAGTCAGGGACAATGGTTTGGCCCCCTCCCTCCTTATGTTTGAGTCAGGGGTAATGATTTGGGCCCCCTCTCTCCTTATGTTTGAGTCAGGGGCAGTGGTTTTGCCCCCTATACTTAATTGCACGATTATAAACATAGTTCTGAACATATATATGATAGAACCTTTATACCATGGGATGTACATGTATATAATATGTAGTTTTATACTGGTTGCTAATTTATAGATGTACTTCTATGAAGAACATGCAGGCCTATCACTATAACCAAGTGTATTTACTGATCACCTCAAACCATGTGGTCCCCAGCTGTTTCTTTATCTCTATATCCTATTGTTCCTTCAAATGGACATTGATTTCTATATACCTTCCTTACACCAGTCAAAACCTGTGTGAATAATTGATGGTTCAACAAGCTCTACACAGAGCAGTAGATATAGTGTGTAAATAGACAAAAACAACTTAAGTATAGATTTACATATTGACTGAAAACATGTTGAAGCTAGCACTGACATAGCACATTATATTCAGTGTCAAGTTAATAACATTTGAATTTTGCGTAAGAAGACAATGAACCATTCACGTAATAAAAAATAACATTACAGGAACTTTCAGATGAATTTTACATTTGAACTTCACAGTTTGAGACAGTAGACTTATATATAAAACTAGAGAACTAAAGGTCGCTTTTGAATTGAATAAAAACCCGGAAAAGTGTTGTTTGTAGTAACACTGCTGTGTTCTCTTAAATGTTGTTAATTCCCAATGTGACCTTCAACACATGATCCACCCAACAGAAACTTTGTAGCATGGCAGTTGTTTGGGCTGGTGGTTACTGATTAAAGGCTGATTTAGTTGGAATGATAAACATTACATACTTGAAGTTGTGTGTTAATGAAAACTATTGGTAAAAGAAAAAAAAAAGATGATGTATTGATATTTTGTCATTTTTTCTGCAGTTGGTTGTTTGAAATCCTATCTTAAATGTACAATTTATATTAGGATATAATGTGTTCTCAGAGTTTGAATGAGTCCCACAGGAAAAGCATGACTTTTTCTGTTTTGTGAAGAGATTAAAGAACACTATCAGATAATAGGAAACTATTGACTGTTTTATACACTATCAGATGGTAGGAAACTACTGGCTGTCCTATACACTATCAGATGATAGGAAACTACTGACTGTCCTATACACTATCAGATAATAGGAAACTACTGGCTGTTTTATACACTATCAGATGATAGGAAACTACTGTCTGTTTTATACACTATCAGATGATAGGGAACTACTGGCTGTCCTATACACTATCAGATAATATGAAACTACTGACTGTTTTATACACTATCAGATGATAGGAAACTACTGGCTGTTTTATACACTATCAGATGATAGAGAACTACTGGCTGTTTTATACACAGTCAGATGATAGGAAAGTACTGGCTGTTTTATTCACTATCAGATGATAGGAAACTACTGGCTGTTTTATACACTATCAGATGATAGGAAACTACTGACTGTTTATACATTATGAGATGATAAGAAACTTTTGGCCGTTTTATACACTATTAGACTGCTGGAAGTCTTATATAGAAAAGTACTGGTTGTCATATACACTATCAGTTGACAAGGACTATTGTTTTATAGGTGGAAGAGCCATGCAGAGGACTGTGAAGACCAGATGAGCACAGCTATAAAAGAAAGAGACTCCTACCTCCATGAACTTAAAGCTGCAAAGGAGCACAATGCTGATGAACTCTATATCCCTCAGATCAAGGAGGTGAGAAAGTTGGGTTATATATACCAGAGGTCACAAGGAAGTGAAAAGCTCATGTTATGTCATAGATCAAAGGTCACAAGGAAGTGAGAAAGTTATGTTATGTCATAGATCAAAGGTCACAAGGAAGCGAGAAATTCATGTTATGTCATAGATCAAAGGTCACAAGGAAGTGAGAAAGTCATGTCATGTCATAGATCAAAGGTTACAAGGAAGTGAGAAAGTCATGCCATGTCATAGATCAAAGGTCACAAGGAAGTGAGAAAGTCATGTAATGTAAGTCTTGGACCAAAGGTAATAGGATTAGAATTTAAATCATGTTATGCTTCATCTTATTTTCTTCAGTTGGAGTTTACAATAGCACAACAGCAAAATGAAGTGCGCGGATTGAGAGATAAACTGGCTAGTCATGATGCAGCTGCCAAGAAATGCATTGCTGGTCTTCAAACTGAGATGAAGCATCGAGTAGACCAGGTATGAGTACATCAGATGTTTTATTAGTCTACCATCATCAAATGATGGGCTGTTCAAACAGCACTTCATCCATAGTCTGTCTAACTGTCCTTAAACATTTTTGTTATTACTATTATCTGAGAAGTACTTGATGAATCATCTCAAAATTTTATATGTAGGTCCCTTTGACCCCTTTGTGTACATTGTCCCATTTTGGGACTGATCCGAAAAACAAAATAGCCTACAGACAGCCATCTTCGATTTGACAATGATAGTTTATCACTATTTCTTGAGAAGTACTGAATGGATCATTCTCAAATTTCACCTATACTAGGTTTCCCTTGATTGTTAGTTGTGCATTGTATGATTTAAGGACTGTTCTGAAAAATTATACGGTCAACAGGCAGACATCTTCTGGAGAAGTAATGTATAAATCTTTCCCATATTCTATAGACAAGTTACCTTTGGTCCCCTTGTTGTGCCCTCTGATTTTTAGACATATCAGAAAAATAATTTGTCTAAAAAACAACAAGGATATACCAACATGTGAACATAATCAAAATCCAAACTAACATTTTAAAGAAAGGGAATAAATGAAAGATTCTCACAGACTTCTGAAAAAAATACAAGGAAAATAAGACCAGGCGTTACAAACAAGTAAACACCTTCTACATTATTGATGATACCCCCTCATTTAAATCATGATCAGTCTAAGTATCTCAAAGGAGAGTAAAGTATACATCATTGGAACAACCAGGCAACCTGGGGCATCCGTTTTTTATATTAATACGGGAATATTGTTATTGCTTTACTTGAGAAGAACTGGATGAATCTTTCTTAGATTTGATACATAGGTTTGAGTCCCCCTGGGTCCCTAATTGTGCCCTTTAGTTTTTTATTTCTGTTTTTGGGAAGTTCCTGATGGATTTTCCTCAGATTTCATATGTAGGTTTCCTTAGTTCTTAGTTGTGCCATTTTGATTTTGGGACTGATCACAAAAACAAAATGGCAGACAGTTCATTAGTAATCTTGGATTTTACAGTTAAAAGTATTTTTATTATGTCAAACTTTCTAATTTCATGTGATAAAGAACAAAACAAAGAAATGAAGAAAAAAGATCCAACCCAACTTTTAAATATCAAATAACCTTTCTGAGATCTCTTGTTAGATCTACAAAAATTAAATATACAGTAGACTAAAGATGAATACTGGTACCTCATTTTTTTTGGAGGGTGGGGGGGGGGGGCATTTTCTTCAGGCTGGTAGTGTTAATAGAATAGAAGTTCTTATAACATAACCACTAGAAGATAAGAGTGTGACATTTCGATTACTACACTGTGACATTCGTCAGTCAAATTTCCAGTGTGAAGCATACTAGCACTGATGTACATAGTGGTACAGAATCAACCAACTTTTTTGGCTGCACTGAATCCGATGTACACTAAGGTAAAAAATAGTGTGACAAGAACTTCTATTTTACAAATATGTCTTATGTTATGCTAGCCATTGAAATATCTTGATTACCATTTGAAATAAATTCAGTCTTATTTTACAAAGAGCTGGAGCTTTCTTGTGAATCAATTTCAGGGATGGGTTTTTCCAAAATAAATGTTGAGGGGCAACGGATGTGGGGGATGGGGGATGCATTTAAAGGGAGACAAATTTTCTATAGATCTTTTGATGGTGTTTTCTTATAGTAAAACAAAAGTGGTTATAAGTTGAAATAAATCTGTAGTTATTTTGCTATTCTAATCTTGCCCTTGAAAACAGGTGACAAAGATGTATGAAGAGGCAAACAAAGACAAGGCTGACATGGTGGTCAAGTATGCACAGGCTGAGAAAAACTTCATGGGTGCACACAAGGCTGTAGAGAGGTTAGAGGTCAAGGTCAGAGAAATGACACGAGAGAGAGACAGTCTCAACAACAAAGTCAAGGAAGCTAAAGGCGAGCGGAAACGTTTACAGACAGAGATTGACACAAAAGTAGGACTAAATTGTTACTGCTTAATTATCTCATTCAAATTATTATTGTTCAATAATTTCAGCTGATTTATGATTGCTTAATAAAGTCAGTCAGATCATGAGATTAATTTTGAACATGTTAAGAAGATTCAGAGCTTATTTAATATTATGTCCATAGATTTTGTCTTATATAAGTACTTGTGGGTATTAAATGATGATAAATTTAAGTATGAAGTGGATTAAAGAAAAAAAAACTTTAAGAAATAGTCAGAAACATAGTGTCTTTCATTTATATGTTCAATCCATTGCAGACATCGGAGGTCAACAGTATAGCCAAAGAGCTGGAGAAAGAGAAGGACCTGTTAGTGTCTGCTGATGTCCGTATCAGGTGGGCCCAGAATAAACTCAAGGCAGAACTAGAATCCCACAAGGTACATTCACAAATTTCAGGGGTGTACTGATTTAGCTTGTCAAGATACAAGTTTCAAAATAATCACTTGGACCTGTATTCATGAAACCATTCTCATGCTCAAGTATGAATTTTATGCTCAAGTCTTATGTCTTGTTTAAGTTAAAAATTAATAAATAAGGCTGATTTTGCCAAAGATTTTAAAAAAATTTAAAAGGACTTCAAGTCAAAGTTATAACCAATGTTTATATTTGACATTTGTATTATTTTATATGATTTAAGAGAATTATAAAAAAGTTTGCTTGAGCACAATATCTATGCTTGAGCATGAGATTGGTTTCATGAATATGGGCCCAGGTGTTTCTTCTGACATTATGCTTCAAATATGTACATCAAATTTGATGACTTTGTTGATCATGACAACATTCCCTCGACTGTAACTTTAGATAATATATTCTGTATATTAGCATTTATTAGTTATTGGTAAAACCTAATTATAACCATTTTTATCCAGCAAATAAATCTAACTCTACATAGCAACATTACACTAGGAGACTGCAAGTCACTTTTATAATTAAGGTTTGTATACCTTCATATTAAGATATAGAAAATTTATGGGTCACGATTGTCTGTCTAGTTACCTGTTTGTGAAGACCTTTTGTTTACGGTGGTTGTGTGTGTGTGTAATAGTTAACCTGCTATTTACAGTTTTGGTTGAACTAGAGAACTAACTTGATTTTGTTTTGTCAGGAAACAAAGGTTGTGCTGGATAAAACTCACCAGAAACTGAAGGAAGCCAAGGAGGAAACAGAACAGATTAGACAAAACTGTCAGGAAATTGTTAAAACATATCAAGTATGTATGATTATAGTAGTGAAAATGTGTTTATCAGGAAGGTATGATAGTTATAAATATGTATATAAAAATATTAGGTGTGTTTATCAGGAAGGTATGATAGTTAAAAACATGTATATAAAAATATCAGGTGTGTTTATCAGAAAGGTATGATAGTTAAAAACATGTATATAAAAATATCAGGTGTGTTTATCAGAAAGGTATGATAGTTATCAACATGTATATAAAAATATCAGGTGTGTTTATCAGAAGGTGTGATAGTTAAAAACATGTATATAAAAATATCAGGTGTGTTTATCAGGAAGGTATGATAGTTATCAACATGTATATAAAAATATCAGGTGTGTTTATCAGAAGGTGTGATAGTTATCAACATGTATATAAAAATATCAGTTGTGTTTATCAGAAGGTGTGATAGTTATCAACATGTATATAAAAATATCAGTTGTGTTTATCAGAAGGTGTGATAGTTATCAACATGTATATAAAAATATCAGGTGTGTTTATCAGAAGGTGTGATAGTTATCAACATGTATATAAAAATATCTGGTGTGTTTATCAGGAAGGTGTGATAGTTATCAACATATGTATATAAAAATATCTGGTGTGTTTATCAGGAAGGTGTGATAGTTATCAACATGTATATAAAAATATCTGGTGTGTTTATCAGGAAGGTGTGATAGTTATCAACATGTATATAAAAATATCTGGTGTGTTTATCAGGAAGGTATGATATAAACTAGATAATAATAAATATATCAAAGATCATCGGCACTACAAGCATACTTATCTATATTCCTTTATTTGTAGGAATCTGAGGAGATAAAGTCAAACAATTTAGACAACAAACTGAAGATGAAGGAGAGTGAGCTGCTGCATCAACAGCAGCAGAAATCCAGTCAGGAGGAGGTACAAGGCTAGGGGTGTGGGGTATACTATAAATACAGTCAGGTAAAAGGCTAGGGGTGTGGGGTATACTATAAATCCAGTCAGGAGGAGGTACAAGGCCAGGGGTGTGGGGTATACTATAAATACAGTCAGGTACAAGGCTAGGGGTGTGAGGAATACTATAAATCCAGTCAGGAGGAGGTACAAGGCTAGGGGTGTGAGGTATACTATAAATCCAGTCAGGAGGAGGTACAAGGCTAGGGGTGTGAGGTATACTATAAATCCAGTCAGGATGAGGTACAAGGCTAGGGGTGTGAGGTATACTATAGATCTAGTCAGGAGGAGGTACAAGGCTAGGGGTGTGGGGTATAATATAAATACAGTCAGGTACAAGGCTAGGGGTGTGGGGTATACTATAAATCCAGTCAGGAGGAGGAACAAGGCTAGGGGTGTGGGTTATACTATAAATCCAGTCAGGAGGAGGTACAAGGCTAGGGGTGTTGGGTATACTATAAATCCAGTCAGGAGGAGGAACAAGGCTAGGGGTGTGAGGTTTACTATAAATCCCGTCAGGAGGAGGTACAAGGCTAGGGCTTTGAGGTATATTAAAAATAAAGGTTATTTTGATGCAGAATTTCTGAAGGTTTCCAAGAAAGTAAGGTTGTTTAGAAGTTATTAATTTGATTTGTATATGCTCTAGATATATGATCTGTTTTATCAAGGCATACCAGGCAGCCTGCCAAGAGATTGAACAGTTGAAAGGGAAACAGATGGAACTGGTGACAGATCTTGGAACATTCCGTGATAAATGTACTCATATGGAAGCTGAACTACAGCAGAATGAGGAGACCATGAACAAGTATACAGCCATGTTACAGAAACAGAAGAAGGATAACAAGGATCTTCAAACACGGATAGAGCACCTGGTACCACTACAGAGTGACTTAAAGAGGTATGTTGTGTCTGGGTACAGTTTGAATGGGGCAGCTGGTACCACTACAGAGTGACCTAAAGAGGTATGTGTCAGGATACAGTTTGACTGGGGCAGCTGATACCAGGTTGTCAGATAATTGATCTATATTGATGATTTACTGCCAGGTGTGGGCTTGTTGTCAGATAATCCATTCATATTGGTAATTTACTACCAGGTGTGGGCTTGTTGTCAGATAATTGATCCATATTGATGATTTACCACCAGGTGTGGGCTTGTTGTCAGATAATTGATCCATATTGATGATTTACCACCAGGTGTGGGCTTGTTGTCAAATAATTGATCCATATTGATGATTTGCCACCAGGTGTGGGCTTGTTGTCAGATAATTGATCCATATTGATGATTTACCACCAGGTGTGGGCTTGTTGTCAGATAATTGATCCATATTGATGATTTACCACCAGGTGTGGGCTTGTTGTCAGATAATTGATCCATATTGATGATTTGCCACCAGGTGTGGGCTTGTTGTCAGATAATTGATCCATATTGATGATTTGCCACCAGGTGTGGGCTTGTTGTCAGATAATTGATCCATATTGATGATTTACCACCAGGTGTGGGCTTGTTGTCAGATAATTGATCCATATTGATGATTTACCACCAGGTGTGGGCTTGTTGTCAGATAATTGATCCATATTGATGATTTACCACCAGGTGTGGGCTTGTTGTCAGATAATTGATCCATATTGATGATTTACCACCAGGTGTGGGCTTGTTGTCAGATAATTGATCCATATTGATGATTTACCACCAGGTGTGGGCTTGTTGTCAGATAATTGATCCATATTGATATTTATGAAGAAATGACTTCCTGTGTTTCCTCAAGGGCCCAGACTACTATAAAGTCCTTAGATGCTGAGATTGCTGAATTGAAGATCAGTAACAAGGACCTAAAGATTGAGAGTGAGGCATGCTATAGACGAGAGACAGAGAAACTGGAACTCACAGAAAAACTTAGTGCTAAAAATGCTGAACTACAATCTGAGAACACCCTGCTGCAGAATAAGGTAGTATTTACTTCTTAGATAAAAATGCAAGTTTTAGCTATTGTTAAGGAAAACAATGAAAATCATTAGTTCTACTTAGAATTCTCCTTAGTTTGTTGTCTTCTGTTCATAATTGTATACAATTATATCATACATTTACCATCGGTAAAGTCTTAATTGAATTAGATATTTAAACGTCTTGTCATCTGTTATAACCTTGTATGATAAAATTCGCTATACTTAAGAAATATGATGGGTTATTTTTTATATCAGGAGGTCTTTTATATAGACAAACTGTCCAATAACCAGTGTAACAGGTGATATTTATTGGTTGTGTTACAGAGCCTAAGTCTGTACAATAACCAGTATAACAGGTGATATTTATTGGTTGTGTTACAGAGCCTAAGTCTGTACAATAACCAGTGTAACAGGTGATATTTATTGGTTGTGTTACAGAGCCTAAGTCTGTACAATAACCAGTATAACAGGTGATATTTATTGGTTGTGTTAGTCTAAGTCTGTACAATAACCAGTATAACAAGTCTGTACAATAACCAGTATAACAGGTGATATTTATTGGTTGTGTTACAGAGCCTAAGTCTGCACAATAACCAGTATAACAGGTGATATTTATTGGTTGTGTTACAGAGCCTAAGTCTGTACAATAACCAGTATAACAGGTGATATTTATTGGTTGTGTTACAGAGTCTAAGTCTGTACAATAACCAGTATAACAGGTGATATTTATTGGTTGTGTTACAGAGCCTAAGTCTGTACAATAACCAGTGTAACAGGTGATATTTATTGGTTGTGTTACAGAGTCTAAGTCTGTACAATAACCAGTATAACAGGTGATATTTATTGGTTGTGTTACAGAGCCTAAGTCTGTACAATAACCAGTATAACAGGTGATATTTATTGGTTGTGTTACAGAGCCTAAGTCTGTACAATAACCAGTGTAACAGGTGATATTTATTGGTTGTGTTACAGAGTCTAAGTCTGTACAATAACCAGTGTAACAGGTGATATTTATTGGTTGTGTTACAGAGTCTAAGTCTGTACAATAACCAGTATAACAGGTGATATTTATTGCTTGTGTTACAGAGCCTAAGTCTGTCCAGTGAGGTACAGAGTCTGAGGATAGAAGTTCAGTCACAGGAGGCCAAAGTTAAGCAACTGGTAAGTCTAATGGAAATATGTCAGATATTAAATCTTTAACGTTTAAATGTTTAATTTTAATTAAAATTTAATTTCGTATTTAGTTTTAACTTCCAAATTTCTTTTCTAAGAGCCTGCTATAGTAATATAAGACTGCAAGTTTATTTATGTTTACTTTTTTGTTTTTCTTTTATTGTAAAGAAAAAAAATTACTGACAGTGATTGTACACATTGTATTTTTAATTGATGACAATATTTAGAATGGTGCAGAGTTATTACATAAAGATACTTTATTCTATCATAAGTATTCTAGGTGAGACATTAATAGCTTAATATTTCTCTCTTACAAAGACCATTGACCTAGAAGAAGAGCAACGTCTAAGACAAGGGGAGGTAACTCATCTAACAACAAGTCTGGCTGAGAAGACAAAGGCTGGTAGGTAGTTTTTGTTCTGAAAATGTTCTCATGGTTGATAGCTCCGGCAGGCAATAATCATGTTATAAATGGGTAAAGGTTTTATGATTTAATCAAGTAAAACCTGGTACATGACAGGTTCTATAGTGTTAGGAAGCTTATAACCTTTACTGAGTGACAAATTTACAATGTAAAAAGTGCATATTTAGTGTTAAGACAGTTTAGGAATAGTGAATACTGGATACTAAATAGGAACTTTCTTAGTAACTCATACTGCTGAATTTATTTACAGCTGAGGAAATGGCACGGCGGATTGAAGATGAGAAAGATGAAATCAAAACTTTAAAAAGGAAACATACTAATAATGTGAAGGTAAATTGTTGTTTATATTGGGGAAAGTTTGTGTCACAGTAACCAACATTGGAATTAAATTTAATTACATAATACATACAATTTAAAGACTCAAAGATCTATAGATTTTTTGGTCTTGTGCATCAACGTAAGTATAACATATTTAATAAATGATGAAGATATTTTATATGTAACAGACCTGTTGAATAGCTGAAAGTGAATGGTAACCATGACAATGATTATATATGGCTGTATGAATTTTATTGTACAGGATTTGACACGCCAGCTCCAACAGGCTAAAAAGCGTTTAGAGGCTGTAGAGATGAACGGGGAACGAGATACAACCAGTATGGGGTCTCGCACTAGTTCTAATGGTTCACTCAATACTATGGCAGACACACAGAATGGGCCATCACAAGGAGTTCCAGCTGTCCGACACTATAGCCCACAGGAACAGGTACCTATACATATAAACCTTAAACTGTTGATTAAGATGGCTGTGTTAAAAATCCTGTAAAAAAATTTACATTACTGTTGTGCAGATCATGGGCTAGGTTTGTGAATATAAAGCAAAACTTATGTGAGAATTTACGAACATTCTTGTCGCCAATTTATGCCTCATAAACAGCTTCTTTGAAATTAATGAAAAAAATGTTGTCAAGGACTATGCCAGTAAGATATTGAATGGACACCAGGATTCACAATAAATCATTAACCTGGCTTCCTGCCTATTCTAAGTAAATTATCATGTAAAGTACATGGTTGGTAACCCAAATCAAAAGCTGAATTTCCTGGGGTGAGATGTTTTACTGGGACAACCCTAAACAAGATCAAAGCTGGGCACTAAAATTCAGATATTGCTGTATAAGCTGACAGTGCTGATCACTACAGTTTTTGAGATACTTTGCTATCTCAAAAAGTCAGAATTATGGTGAAGGGATAAACTGCAATTAGAATGAGTAATTTTAGATGTTTAAGTTTGCCTTATATGTATGTGTTTTGTTTAAGGAATATCCAGTTATCACGGAACAAGTTGAGCCAGACAGACAACTTCTTATTGAGAGAATTGTCAAGCTGCAGCGATCTCATGCTCGCAAAAATGAAAAGATTGAGTTCATGGATGACCACATCTCACAGTTAATTGATGAAATACATAGAAAGAATAAGTAAGATATATTTTACCTAAGTTACAAAATCTCTTAGTCATGATACTAAAGCATTAGTAGTTTTAATGGATACTTTATTTGTTATTATAAGTCAATTGTAAAAGTACTGGGATACATGAGTTTGTTTATATTCAGTTTGAAGTTTAGTAAAATCCTCAGCAGTAGTAAATGAGTTATCTGATATCTGAGAAGTTTAGAACAAGTTATACCTGATAATATTGGATAGTAATTAAACTTCTTTGATATGACAGTGCTTCTAAGTATACATAAAACAGTAGTAATCAAAGGAAGGTATTTTGTCATTTTAGGATAATTCAGAGCTATGCCCTTCGAGAGGAAGCTGGGACATTAACACCAGAAGTTATGGATCATCACAAGGTACAGAAGCAATAGCAAGTGGTATACTAAACCATAACCATAGGGTTTCCCATATAGCCATTATATTTAACAAGTACCCCAACATGACTATCAAATCCATATCTTAAGAAATCACACATTTTTCCATGTTGATGGCTAATTGGTGATAGTCATCATATTTGTCTCCATTCTTGGAATAGTGCCATCTACCAGTGGGGAAATATAAAGCTCATTTAATGGGACTATACCTTCTAATGACTAAAACACTATAACAAGCAATTTATCTGAAGAAATCTCTCAGGATTAGCCTTATGTACTTCTGTTATAGGACAGAATATAGGTCACAGGACAGGGGTAGTACATAGATAATACCACCTCAGTTTCCTTATGGTCGTAGGACAGGGATAGTACATAGTAACACTCAGTTTCCTTTGGTCGTAAGACTGGGATAGTACATAGGTAATACCACCTCAGTTTCCTTTGGTTGTAGGACAGGGATAATACATAGATCACACCACCTCAGTTTCCTTTGGTCGTAAGACTGGGATAGTACATAGGTAATACCACCTCAGTTTCCTTTGGTTGTAGGACAGGGATAGTACATAGGTAATACCACCTCCGTTTCCTTTGGTTGTAGGACAGGGATAATACATAGGTAATACCACCTCAGTTTCCTTTGGTTGTAGGACAGGGATAGTACATAGGTAATACCACCTCAGTTTCCTTTGGTTGTAGGACAGGGATAGTACATGGGTAATACCACCTCAGTTTCCTTTGGTTGTAGGACAGGGATAGTACATAGGTAATACCACCTCAGTTTCCTTTGGTTGTAGGACAGGGATAGTACATGGGTAATACCACCTCAGTTTCCTTTGGTTGTAGGACAGGGATAGTACATGGGTAATACCACCTCAGTTTCCTTTGGTTGTAGGACAGGGGTAGTACATAGATAATACCACCTCAGTTTCCTTATGGTCGTAGGACAGGGATAGTACATAGTAACACTCAGCTTCCTTTGGTCGTAGGACAGGGATAGTACATAGGTAATACCACCTCAGTTTCCTTTGGTTGTAGGACAGGGATAATACATAGATCACACCACCTCAGTTTCCTTTGGTCGTAAGACTGGGATAGTACATAGGTAATACCACCTCAGTTTCCTTTGGTCGTAGGACAGGGATAGTACATGGGTAATACCACCTCAGTTTCCTTTGGTTGTAGGACAGGGATAGTACATAGGTAATACCACCTCAGTTTCCTTTGGTTGTAGGACAGGGATAGTACATGGGTAATACCACCTCAGTTTCCTTTGGTTGTAGGACAGGGATAGTACATGGGTAATACCACCTCAGTTTCCTTTGGTTGTGGTAGTACATAGCTAATACCACCTCAGTTTCCTTATGGTCGTAGGACAGGGATAGTACATAATACCACCTCAGTTTCCTTTGGTTGTAGGACAGGGATAGTACATAGGTAATACCACCTCAGTTTCCTTTGGTTGTAGGACAGGGATAGTACATATGTAATACCACCTCAGTTTCCTTTGGTTGTAGGACAGGGATAGTACATAGGTAATACCACCTCAGTTTCCTTTGGTTGTAGGACAGGGATAATACATAGGTAATACCACCTCAGTTTCCTTTGGTTGTAGGACAGGGATAGTACATAGGTAATACCACCTCAGTTTCCTTTGGTTGTAGGACAGGGATAGTACATAGGTAATACCACCTCAGTTTCCTTTGGTTGTAGGACAGGGATAGTACATAGGTAATACCACCTCAGTTTCCTTTGGTTGTAGGACAGGGATAGTACATAGGTAATACCACCTCAGTTTCCTTTGGTTGTAGGACAGGGATAGTACATAGGTAATACCACCTCAGTTTCCTTTGGTTGTAGGACAGGGATAGTACATAGGTAATACCACCTCAGTTTCCTTTGGTTGTAGGACAGGGATAGTACATAGGTAATACCACCTCAGTTTCCTTTGGTTGTAGGACAGGGATAGTACATGGGTAATACCACCTCAGTTTCCTTTGGTTGTAGGACAGGGATAGTACATAGGGGTAATACCACCTCAGTTTCCTTTGGTTGTAGGACAGGGATAGTACATGGGTAATACCACCTCAGTTTCCTTTGGTTGTAGGACAGGGATAGTACATAGGTAATACCACCTCAGTTTCCTTTGGTTGTAGGACAGGGATAGTACATAGGTAATACCACCTCAGTTTCCTTTGGTTGTAGGACAGGGATAGTACATAGGTAATACCACCTCAGTTTACTTTGGTCGTAGGACAGGGATAGTACACAGTAATACCACCTCAGTTTACTTTGGTCGTAGGACAGGGATAGTACACAGTAATACCACCTCAGTTTACTTTGATTGTAGGACAGGGATAGTACACAGTAATACCACCTCAGTTTACTTTGGTCGTAGGACAGGGATAGTACATAGGTAATACCACCTCCGTTTCCTTTGGTTGTAGGACAGGGATAGTACATGGGTAATACCACCTCAGTTTACTTTGATTGTAGGACAGGGATAGTACACAGTAATACCACCTCAGTTTACTTTGATTGTAGGACAGGGATAGTACATAGGTAATACCACCTCAGTTTCCTTTGGTTGTAGGACAGGGATAGTACATGGGTAATACCACCTCAGTTTCCTTTGGTTGTAGGACAGGGATAGTACATAGGTAATACCACCTCAGTTTCCTTTGGTTGTAGGACAGGGATAGTACATAGGTAATACCACCTCAGTTTCCTTTGGTTGTAGGACAGGGATAGGGTAATACCACCTCAGTTTCCTTTGGTTGTAGGACAGGGATAGTACATAGGTAATACCACCTCAGTTTCCTTTGGTTGTAGGACAGGGATAGTACATAGGTAATACCACCTCAGTTTCCTTTGGTTGTAGGACAGGGATAGTACACAGTAATACCACCTCAGTTTACTTTGATTGTAGGACAGGGATAGTACACAGTAATACCACCTCAGTTTACTTTGATTGTAGGACAGGGATAGTACACAGTAATACCACCTCAGTTTAGTAGGACAGGGATAGTACACAGGTAATACCACCTCAGTTTCCTTTGGTTGTAGGACAGGGATAGTACATGGGTAATACCACCTCCGTTTACTTTGTTTGTAGGACAGGGATAGTACACAGTAATACCACCTCAGTTTACTTTGATTGTAGGACAGGGATAGTACACAGTAATACCACCTCAGTTTACTTTGATTGTAGGACAGGGATAGTACACAGTAATACCACCTCAGTTTACTTTGATTGTAGGACAGGGATAGTACACAGTAATACCACCTCAGTTTACTTTGATTGTAGGACAGGGATAGTACACAGTAATACCACCTCAGTTTACTTTGATTGTAGGACAGGGATAGTACACAGTAATACCACCTCAGTTTACTTTGATTGTAGGACAGGGATAGTACACAGTAATACCACCTCAGTTTACTTTGATTGTAGGACAGGGATAGTACACAGTAATACCACCTCAGTTTACTTTGATTGTAGGACAGGGATAGTTATACTCATTGAAATGAGTACTTTATTGTATCAGTATAAGTTTGAAGGCTATTTTTGGTGGATATATTATGCTAGTTTGTAGTACCGTGTAAAGACTACCATTGTTCTAGTTTTGTTCACACTATGCTTGATGTTGTAGCAATTACATTTTCTGAGCTCTTATTAATTGTGATATTTGTTAGATGCTTTTATGAATCTTGATGTTGCATTCAATAAAAAGTTTGCTTCAACTTCTTTCTGAACCCAGATTGAGAGTCTGTGGACCCCCTCATCTTGATTCAAAATTGGTTGCTAGAGCTGGAGAGTCACTCATATTTATGACCTCATGCTAAACAAATATAGTTTAACCTACTCTGTAATTTCAATTTCTCTTGTCATTTCATTTATTGTTAACAACTAAATGTACACTATACTAGCAAAATGAATAGGTTGAAATATGTGAACTATATTATACATTTTATAACTTATTAAACATGTGATTTAATGGGCATTTATTATGTGGAGATGATGAACTCTTGGTCAATAGAACAAACACAAATGTTTGATTGGTTGAGATAGAAAATATTGTCTCAAGAGTTACCAGGTAATTGAAGTTGATTTTTCATAAGGAATTACAAACCATTCAGATGTTTTCAATTGAAACAAGATGGAATGACCAACAATTTTTTAATTACATTTATGCGACCAGAAGTTTTAAGGTATAACCGACAGAATTTGAAAAACTAGAGAATTATAGCACAACAGAAAATAGTTCTTTACACAATGCCAACTCCAAAGATAAGCCTGATGATAATAGACAGAAAAAAAAAGAAAAAAATAATGTCAGATACTTTTTCTGAACTCTTTATCCCAATATCAGTATTAGTCCAATAATGAATCTCCATCCTAAATGTTAATGTCTTTAAACATTTATTGACTTGATAACTTAGTCAGTAACAGAACCACTAGATTGCAGTAATAAAAGTCCTGAAGACTTTACAGGTCATGGTTGAAAGGTCACTTATGATGGACACAGAGTCCATTATATCATATCATAATGAAGGAGAGTTCATGGGGTCATACAGTAGTAGAAGAAGGGAACATGGGTGTCATACAATGGCAGAGGAGGGTACATGGGTGTCATACAGTGGCAGAGAAGGGTACATGGGTGTCATACAGTGGCAGAGAAGGGTACATGGTGTCATACAGTGGCAGAGAAGGGTACATGGGTGTCATATAGTGGCAGAGAAGGGTACATGGGTGTCATACAGTGGCAGAGAAGGGTACATGAATGTCATACGGTGGCAGAGGATGGTTCATGAGTATCATACAGTGGCAGAGGAGGGTACATGGGTGTCATACAGTGGCAGAGGAGGGTACATGGATGTCATACAGTGGCAGAGAAGGATACATGGGTGTCATACAGTGGCAGAGGAGGGTACATGGATGTCATACAGTGGCAGAGAAGGATACATGGGTGTCATACAGTGGCAGAGGAGGGTACATGGTGTCATACAGTGGCAGAGAAGGGTACAAAGGTGTCATGCTATACCAATTTAGAGTCATGGAAAGATAGTATAAACAAAAGTTGAGAGGATTATTTTGTGATGTGAACCCAGCATGCAACACTGAAGTTGTTTTGATCATTTAAAGAGTCAATACATAACATAAAAATAGAATTTATTTTCCATTCCTTTTAGTTCTTCTTTGTTAATGTGATTATAAACTCCTCAGTCTCCTGTTTTTAGTCCCAGCCAGATAATTATAAGTTCCCTGCTTATATCATCATACACCTCTTGTCCATTGCATTCTCACATGTACTGTGTATTCTATAGATTGACAGCAGGCGCCAGTCCATCCAGGTACAGTAGCTTCCCTTTACCAGAACTCTCCAGTTCAGTGTTACAGCATGGATTCAAGTGTCCTTGACTTTTGCACAATTATGTCTGCCTAGTTGTGTTTATTTTGTGTATATTTATGTAGAGCTTGAGATACATTTCTGCAGACATGACACATGCTTTTCACCATACCACTGATTAAATGGCATACTATCATGAAAATTTATCTATTCTATTTGAGCTGCAATCTTGATATTATACATTGGTTTCAAGCTTTATTTCATTTTGAAAATCAATAATTAGAAAACACTGACTTCAACTATCAGATTTAATGAAATGTAATAGCAGATTTCAATGTTTCAGTTATATGTCAAGAAGTGTTTTGAAGAGGATGCATAGAGTCTAGGAATATGCTAATTATATGATTAACATATTTCCTAATTAGGTCATCCATAAATAGCACAGTTGATTGTTTTGTCTGTAGAGTGTAGCTCCAGTGTTAATAGTGTCTGGCACAAGTGTCATCATTCTTAGTTATGTAACCTTGAACTGACCTTGTGATTTATTGTTGTAGAAGACCTCTGTTTGTATCTTCTGTTATAATAACACTTTACTTTTCTTCCTCAAACATGATGGTGTTATTAGATTACAGATGTTAGAATCAGTAATCTTTGGTTAAAATCTGGTAGAGGAATTCTCGAAAACACTAATATTTCTATTTCTCAATGATGTCCACCCGAAAAAGTGTTGTAATGTCTAAATGTCCCCTGTAGACAATGGTACTATAGTTTGGTTGACTTGTTTATGTACAATAGAACCTTGTAGAATTACACAAGCTGTAACATTTCTGTAACTATTTACTAGTAGTGTGGTGGAGGAGTATTTACAAGGGTGAAGGGAAGTCTTATAACCAACTGGGTAGCTCACAGCTCTGTTAGCTCTGTAGGTAGATTGTAGGATTTAAAACTTCAGGTGAAGATCTGAAGTTTGTGGTTTGATGATCCTTATTCAGGGCAGTTTGTGTTTCTGGAAAACAGACTGACCTGTGCTGTATTGATTGTGTCAGTGGACAGGACACTTTACTCCAGCTGGATGGCATGCAGTAGTGTTGTGCATAGGTTGTTCATTGAAGTATCCACTTGTCACTTCAAGAAGAATCTTCCTCAAATGACCCTTGCAGTTAATGATGAGGTGTTAAAGCTGGATAAAAAATAGTTCAAAGAAATGAAAATGCAACCAACTTCCTCTTACAGGGCTTTGTGTTACAGTTCTGAAAACGTATAAAGAGCACTCTAGTTTGTTGTCTCATTGTATTTCATTGTGTTTTTGTTTTCCTACTGTTCAGGATGTACTGGAGACTGACTATAATTTTGCTCTCTGTCCAGCTGTGTGCAAAACACCAATACTTAATTCCTTGAGGGATTCTCATCAAACTATAAACACCCTGAAGCATCAAAATATCTCAGACATTACTAAGTTTCAGGGCTGTTGGGCCATTGTTGAGTCTTGAGTTGATGGGTCAAGGTCATGGTCACTGTTACTATTTTTAGAAAAGCAGTGTCAGTGCTCTAGCCGCTTAATTCCTTGAGAGATTCTTACCAAGCTTCTCACACTTATAAAGTATCATATATGCTTGACAATTTTGAGTTTCAGGGGTTTTGGATATAGATCAAGGTCACAATATCTATTTTTAGAAAATAATTAGGGTTCTAGCAGCTTCATTCTTTATGGGATTTTTCCTAAAACCTCACACACTTCCAAATCAAAATATCTTGAACAAGTTTGAGTTTCAAGGTTGTGGGTCAAGGTCAGTATAACTGTTTTTAGAAAATCATTGTCAGTGCTCTTATCACCATGGTTCTTAAGGGATTTTCATCAGACTTCAAACACATTTCAAGCGCTGAGATATTAATAACAAAACCCAAGTTTCAGGGTTGTTTTGTCAAGATCAATGTCTCTTTATAATCATTACAGGATTTTTATACAAACCTGAAACACTTGCAAATTACTGTAACACGTCATTATATTGGTGATAAAACTATATTGTCAGTCTGTCATTCGTATGTATTACATTGTTACATCAGTTAAAAACTAACCATATTTTTCTTTTTTTCAATTACCACCAAACAGCACCATCTTTATAAATCATATTCAGTGCTAAAGCTTTTTTTTTTTTTTTTGGGGGGGGGGGGGGGTGTTGGTTTGGCATTTATTTCCTGACCAGTACTCAATCAGTACTCAGTATGCTTATCTATATCATTATATCAGTTTATATACTAAGTATATTGATAAATATATAAGGCTTTTGTGGGGTTTAAAGCACTGCAATCAAATTGTAAAACTGTGTTTGTGAAATGCTAGTTGTTTTACTGAGCATTAAGTAAATATACAAGAAATAAACCTTCAGCATTAGTACTTGTATGTCTGTTTTTGTGATGGAGATTTGTCAGGAATCTAATTGATCTGTTGTTTTTATTTTAAACCTTTTTTTTACAAAAATCTAAATGTATAATTTTTTCTTCTTTATTTAGATCCCAAATTACATAGCATGTTTGAAACTGTAATGTTGATTTCTCTTTGTTGAAAATCCGAGATCTATTCATTATTCATTGCCTCCATTTTCAACCTTCTAGGTTTTATGTTAGAATTGTATTCATTATCATGTCTCTGCTGCAGAGGGAATGTCTGAAAAAACCCATTTATTAACCAAAGTGTTCATAGTGTAGTTCTCCTTTATATCTGCTAGATAGAAGTCAGTCATATAAGAAGTATTTCTGAGGAGTATTCACACGTTGATAATATCTTAGTGTTTATGAAATTTACACCCATTCTTGAAATGACAAGATAAAATATGTTGTAAAGGGAAACCGTCTTGTGGTTTGATGTTATGTGTCTATAAATCTCGCTGTTTGGTATCACTCTATCTTTATGTCTTCATCTTGCTTAAAGATATAGCAGTTTTACGTGTGTACCATGCCCAAATAAGTATCCTTTGAAAATATTGAATAATCAGTTTTCATTCATATCAGTTGGGTAACCCATCTTTGAAAAATGTCCAACTTTTTGTGATATTACCGATGAATTCACTTGTTAAAACAATATTTTATTTCTTTGGCCCATGAACATGTTGTGAAGCAGTATCAGTATTTGTGCAATGTTTATCAATGATAAACACTTTCCTACTGAAGTTACCTATGGGATTTTCAAATATAGAAATATGTATTGGACTTGATTTTATCTTATCGACATATGGTATACAATTGGTATGAAATATAGCTTTGTGCTTTACAAATGGTTTTCAGTGTGAGATATCGGCTTATGGTTGATAAGTGGTTAGAAATATATAGGCTTGGAGATTATGATTATGTGTGGATACCGTGGCGTCTGTCAATGTCTACTATATATTGCAATTATTCATTAACAACTGAGCAGATTTAAATCAAATTTGATCTGAAGCATTCTTGGGGAAAGTTATACCAATTTTGCAAAAATGGTTGGTTTGGCCCAAGTAGGTAAAATCTATCATTTCTTTGAAATTTTTCTTGTTCTTCAGGAATTGCAGGATATTGTCCAAAATTTGTTTGAAGCATGCTTGGGTGAAGGGAAATCAGTTTTGAATAAAAGGTTGGTCTCAGCAGGGCCCAATAGGGAAAATCTGTCAATTTTTTTAAGATCTACCCTGTTCTTTAGGATTTTATTCAAATTTGGTCTGAAACATGCTTGAGTGAAGGAAAAATCAGTTTGGATTAAAGAGTGGGTTTTGGTGTCCTGGCGCCAGATGGGCAGGGCCCAACAGGGAAAATTTAACCCCAAAGTAGATTTAGTTAATTTTCAAATCATGGCTTTGCACCATCAACAATTCGTCTGGATCTTCAGTTTTTTGAAACGGTTGTGATTCCCACTGAATAATTATAGCATTGCTGAGCATCAGAAGATAAACACAATCATAACTGATAATTTGTCTTAGGGTCTGGTCCCACCCAAGAACTGATTATATCTTTGAAGCCATTGAGATAATCATTCCATAACTTAATAGCATAGCTGGACACCAAGAGATTAACTACTGATCTCTATCCCCACCCCTAGGGAATTCGAAACTGTATCTGTGGGGTGAGGCTCATCAGGGGAAATATTTTCCTTCTAAAATAATGTTAAGTTTTACATTATTGACTTAAATATCCAGGTGAGGGGGCCTCTTGTTGATCTTAGAGAATACAAATGGGATAAGGTGTAAAAAGTGTGTAAAATATCAGACTCGTAGGTAGTGTGTACTGGGCCAAGGGATTGCAAATTATATGAAAGATGATTTAGGCTTTTTCTTTAGAAATTATCTGAAGCGTGTACTGGTTTATGAATTAACACTGTAATGCTTAGTAACCTGGTTACAGATTTTCTGTCTCCTAGACTTGTCGTTTAGGTGTTGTATCACTGATGAATGTCAAGGTAATGTATGTAAGAAGTGTTTATTTCAAGGTCTATTGATTCGATCCTTCTGTAAATATTACAATATGATGTTTACATGCCAATAAGAAGGTACAGCAGTAGTTTGCTACAATTCTCAGATATCAAAACTAAAAAGCAGGCTTAATTGTTTCCCTGTCATTGTTGATATGGCTGTCACAGGTTGACATATGGTGATGTCAATTACCATTTTATTTGGTTTGACTTTGTAGATGGCAGTCCTTGTTAGATATCATCAGAAAACATATCAGCAATACATAATGTAACAAACACAATGAGAGTAGAACTACCAGGACATTTAAGCATACACAGTCAATATTTCTCTTAGGTGGAAAGTCTATAATAGTGTCAAGGTTAAGATGAAACAGAAAGAATGGTTTTGGAAATGGAAGTCAAATAAAGCATCTTTATATTAATTTCTAATAATGATCAATTATGTTAATGGTATAAATTTGTATTAAATTAACAAAGAATCATGATAATGGTTAAAGATGAAAGTGAAGTATCAGGCATTAAAATGATATGGTAGTAAAATATGATCATTTACAATGAAAAGCACTTCTGTTTCCTCTACCTCTGTAAATAGTGCTTGAATTTACTGGTAATTTTCATTGTGTTTACAGTGCATTGAAAATATTGGAAACAGACATATATTTGTATGGTCATACATTGACTTCGCTGCTTACTACTCAAGTGTTATAAAAGCCTTTGTCATTCAATTGGATATTAAGGGGATATAAATAAAAGTTTAGTATGATACAGAACCTTTCAAAAACAGATAGACTTAATTAACAAGGCTGAGTATGATCTGTTCATCGGTCAATAAATTTAGCAAATAGATGCATTCAGGTATATAGCTTATCATCCATTTTCTATACTTGTAGGCAAAGATATCAAAGAAACACAGCATCATGGGATCTCTGTATAGCTCTCATCAAACTGATGGGACCATGACCCTTGACCTTTCATTGGAGATCAACAAAAAGTTACAGGCCGTGCTGGAGGATACATTACTGAAGAATATAACACTGAAGGTACAATTGGCTTGTAGATCGGTGACTGTATGGGATATATTTTGACGTGGAGATGGATGTGGTATATATTTTGACTTGAAGATGGGTGTGGTATATATTTTGACTTGAAGATGGGTGTGGTATATATTTTGACTTGGAGATGGGTGTGGTATATATTTTGACGTGGAGATGGGTGTGGTATATATTTTGACTTGGAGATGGATGTGGTATATATTTTGACTTGGAGATGGGTGTGGTATATATTTTGACGTGGAGATGGGTGTGGTATATATTTTGACTTGGAGATGGGTGTGGTATATATTTTGACTTGGAGATGGGTGTGGTGTATATTTTGACTTGGAGATGGGTATGGTATATATTTTGACTTGGAGATGGGTGTGGTATATATTTTGACTTGGAGATGGGTATGGTATATATTTTGACTTGGAGATGGGTGTGGTATATATTTTGACTTGAAGATGGGTGTGGTATATATTTTGATTTGGAGATGGGTGTGGTATATATTTTGACTTGAAGATGGGTGTGGTATATTTTTTGACTTGAAGATGGGTGTGGTATATATTTTGACTTGGAGATGGGTGTGGTATATTTTTTGACTCGGAAAGGGGCGTGGTATATATTTTGACTTTGAGATGTGTGTGGTATATATTTTGACTTGGAGATGTGTGTGGTATATATTTTGACTTGGAGATGTGTGTGGTATATATTTTGACTTGGAGATGGGTGTGGTATATATTTTGACTTGGAGATGGGTGTGGTATATATTTTGACTTGAAGATGGGTGTGGTATATATTTTGACTTGGAGATGGATGTGGTATATATTTTGACTTGGAGATGGGTGTGGTATATTTTTTGACGTGGAGATGGGTGTGTTATATTTTTTTACTTGAAGATGGGTGTGGTATATATTTTGACTTGAAGATGGGTGTGGTATATATTTTGACTTGAAGATGGGTGTGGTATATTTTTTGACTTGAAGATGGGTGTGGTATATATTTTGACTTGGAGATGGGTGTGGTATATTTTTTGACTTGGAATGGGGCGTGGTATATATTTTGACTTTGAGATGTGTGTGGTATATATTTTGACTTGGAGATGTGTGTGGTATATATTTTGACTTGGAGATGTGTGTGGTATATATTTTGACTTGGAGATGGGTGTGGTATATATTTTGACTTGGAGATGGGTGTGGTATATATTTTGACTTGAAGATGGGTGTGGTATATATTTTGACTTGGAGATGGATGTGGTATATATTTTGACTTGGAGATGGGTGTGGTATATTTTTTGACTTGGAGATGGATGTAGTATATATTTTGACTTGGAGATGGGTGTGTTATATTTTTTACTTGAAGATGGGTGTGGTATATATTTTGACTTGGAGATGGGTGTGGTATATATTTTGACTTGGAGATGGGTGTGGTATATTTTTTTACTTGGAGATGGGTGTGGTATATATTTTGGCTTGGAGATGGGTGTGTTATATTTTTTTACTTGAAGATGGGTGTGGTATATATTTTGACTTTGAGATGGATGTGGTATATATTTTGACTTGGAGATGGGTGTGTTATATTTTTTTACTTGAAGATGGGTGTGGTATATATTTTGACTTGGAGATGGGTGTGGTATATTATATCTCTGTAGAAGTTTTATGATGTAGCTTTCATTTCCGCACAGTTAACATCACTAACTTTTAATCTTTAATTATACCTTGTATATGCAATTGATACTTGTTGATTTTGCAGGAAAGTCTAGATACACTAGGAGAAGAAATTTCCAGACTCTCACAAGAAAATAGACAGTTGCAACTCTCAACACAGACAAGGAAGAAACCTGCCCGATGACAGCAGAGCTTGTGGTGATATGTTCACTTTGGGAGCAGGCTGTTGTTATCTAGTATATCAATGACTGACATGGGTCGCCTGTACTGTGGTTTTTATCACAGAAGTGGTTGTGCTATCATATGACTTCATCTGGTACAAGAACATAACACTGTGTGGTCAACAACAAAGACATCAGGGTTTCACTGCTTTGACTGTAACAAACTGATATCTGTATCACATGGAGTATCCACATATATGATGAGTGGTATGTCAGTATTGTACAAATTATTAAAGACTTGCATGGAGTTGAATATCATTTAAATGCTGACCGTTATTCATCAAGAGATGTTCATCTGGTGGTTCTTTTGGTTCAAAGCCGATTAGCATCAGAATTAATTTAAGCATATCAACATGAAGTACTTTTGTGCATCCTCTGGTACTCTACTGTACATGCCTGGAATGTGTGGGAATGTTTTCTGTGTGATATAATCCCTATTTGAAAGCGTAATTTACCCTCAGAGACCTCTTCAGTATAGTATGGCCAGTTTTCCTTATTTAGTGTAATTATTGATGTACTGTGTTAATGATCAGTGAGACATACGGTCAGAATCTAGATCATCAATATAAATTTGTGATAGATTGTCTGGATGGTTTCTAGTTTTGGTGAAGTTGAAGATAGCCATTGTAAGATTTACTATCTGTTAAGGTTTGTGTTTAAACCGAGTGACAAGTATGAAACAAGCAGAATCTTGGATCTTTTGAACAAATAATGTGGTTCCCTAGGGTATTCTGTTAACAAACTGACCAAATCACATGGTCTGTTGAGGTATTTCGTTAACACACTGACCAAATCACATGGTCTGTTGGGATGTTCACTTAACAAACTGACCAAATCACATGGTCTGTTGAGGTATTTCATTAACAAACTGACCAAATCACATGGTCGGTTGGGGTATTTCGTTAACACACTGACCAAATCACATGGTCTGTTGGGGTAACCAGTTTACACAAAACTACATCATCCCCTGGGTGTCCAGTTTAGATGAATGTTAAATATAATTGACAATCTTATTGTTAACATTATCAGGACAAGGATGGCAAAAATGTATATGTTTATATTTTGTTTTATATATTAATATGTCTGATACTATATATACTCAGTATATGTTCAGTTGAGAAGAATTCTGTATAATTTTAGTCGAGCAAAATTCTGTATAATTTCATTTAAGAATAATTCTGTGTAACTTGAATTAATTGCAGTTCAGAAGAATTCTGAAAAATTGCAGTTGAGAATAACCAAGAGAAGATTTTAAAAGTTTAAACTAAGAAATTAAAAACATGCTGATATTTTGGTAAGATCCTTGTCTTGTCCTGGCACATGCACGTCTAGTCCTGTATCAGATGGTGAAGTAGTGGTACATGTATGGTGTGTGTAGTAGACTGTAAGAATAAACAGAAAAATGATTGAGAAAATATATGTTACCAAGTTATGAGAATTGAAAAAAGAACGACATGCCTGTATTCTTACATTTACAAAAAATATACACAATTATGTATGCTTTACACTAATTATCTTTACTTTGTTATAACAGAAAAATGTAGCAATCTGAAAAATCAATGTTGGTAACTTTTATCTGTGAAAGGCAGTTTGTGAGTTAAACCTTATAGGCTATTCATTAGCTGATGTATAGGATATGTATAATCACATTATGATCAGCTGCAGGCCAGGTGGTATACCCTTGTCAAAATACCTGATGGCTTGTGTCCTATCAAGGTCTTGTTTTGCAGTATGACAAGGTTACTGCTGGTAAATCTTTGGCATTTATGTTATCTCTTCTGTCTTATTATAAAATCTCAAGGCCAGTATGTTATACCAGGGTAGTCTTTATAACAGCATGAAGAATGTTTATGACAGACAAAGACTACTGATTTTAAAATGGTAAAGCTTGTCAAAGTCCTGTCTTTTTCATTTAAAAAAAATAATCCTTTTAATGGTATGAACATATCTGAGATGTCTCTATAGAATTTATTTTTATCGGTGTTAGAATACAGAAAACAGTGTTATGTAACAATTGACAATTAATATAAACATTTTTATGTTTGTGATCTTTTGTATTAGGTTCTTGCAGTATAACATCCCGTGTGTATTCAGTCTTTTACACTTATAAACAAATGTCAGTGAGGATTTCAGGCCAATTAGGGGTTAAGTTGGTTGGTTAAAAGTTTTTCATCTCCGTGACTTTTCCTTGCACTAGGCTTTGCTTCACCATCACACATCAGTACTCTTGAATTGTGTCTTGTTTAACATTTGCAATTCTTTATTATAGATGGCCTTTATTGTATTGAATTGAACGTGACTGAGCGATACAAATGACAAGTTATAGATTTTTTTTTTTACGTATCGCATTCTCTGTAAATCAACGAGAGAATGTTTGTTTTTTACGTACTGCATTTTCTGTAAATCAAAGAGGGAATTTTTTTTTTACGTATCGCATTCACTGTAAATCATCGAGAGAAACTAAGGATTTTTTTTATGTTAGAATCTCATTAATACAGAACTTTGATAAAGGTATAACATAGGTGTGACAATAAAGTGAGGTGGGACCTGAGAATGTAAAGTACAGTGTTAATTTCTTTGTACTTTTCTTTCTAATGTATCAATTGATACGAGATTTACAATGTTATCCTTTAATATCGGCAGATTTCTTTCTAATGTATCAATTGATACGAGATTGACAATGTTATCCTTTAATATCGGCAGATTTCTTTCTAATGTATCAATTGATATGAGATTGACAATGTTATCCTTTAATATCGGCAGATTTCTTTCTAATGTATCAATTGATATGAGATTGACAATGTTATCCTTTAATATCGGCAGATTTCTTTCTAATGTATCAATTGATACGAGATTGACAATGTTATCCTTTAATATCGGCAGATTTCTTTCTAATGTATCAATTGATACGAGATTGACAATGTTATCCTTTAATGTATCAATTGATATGAGATTGACAATGATATTCTTTCTAATGTATCAATCTTCAATTATAGGTATCAATTGCTTTGACAATGTTATCCTTCAGACTTTGTTGCTTTTTACACTTTGTGACAGTGAATCTTTAGATTGTACAAAGTTTTTACTGATCAAAAACATACTTCAAAAATCTTTAATTTGAAATAGGGTTCACTAGTAATTTTAAACAAGGGAATGTTTGCAACAGCTTATGTTGTACATGTACTTTCCAGCTAGTATTAGTCACATTTTTGTCATGGTCCTTCCTACTTAAGTTGAGAAATTGGACTGGGTCAGGGAAGTAAACCCAGTAATAATGATGCAGACTTTGCATTCCTTTGTCAAATAGTGATATCATATTGTGATCAAATTGTATAAAATACACTTATTTATCAGATTTGAGATATGTGTTGGTAACAGTTGAAGTTCCAGTTCTTGTGATTTCATTTCAATGTGGTTTAGAATATTGTTATAATTGTTTTAGTACTGAAATATACATGATCTTTGTAACATATATCTAGAATAATATAACGCCTGAGGTAACTGATGTACACTAGTTATATAACATGTTAATACTTGTCTTACAACATCTGTAATTGATGTTATTAATCCTTGATCATGCCTATATATGTTAGGGATGTATTCACTCTTATGTGGATGAGTACCATTAGAAACATTACCTACACCCTTTCTGAAGTCAAACTTTTGGGGGATATAATCTTGTAGTCTTATTGAAATCAATAGGTTTCTTTCTTTTCCATCCACTTCCTCTTGTTTATTACCTTGCTGTAGAGTATATAATATACTAGTGCTGACTGTTATACATAAAATCATTCATTGTTATATACTTCCCTGTGTATAATACTTTATACATTTATAAGCATTCTTATATACAGTATAAGTAGCATTGTCATGCATGGATGTGGTATTTTGTCAGAATTCAGGCAGGTATAATGCTTTAATAATTGATGATAGTCGGCTCCCTGCAGTGTTCACAATTACCTCGGACATGATCTTTATTTAGCCACAGATATCTAGTCATTGTCATATCATTGTCAGTACAATTGTAGGGTGCGAATGGCAATATCTGGTATATATGGTAAAGGAAACGGTTACGATTAAAAGAATTTTGATAAGTGACACTTGAGTGTTGTGTCTGCAGGTCATAGTATAGGAGAGATTCATGTTTCTAGTGGGTACACAATTCATATTGAGATTGACACTGGAGAATTAAGTTTTAGAAAGTGAGTTTGTTATTTTGGATGCTATGACAATGTTTTCATTAAATACATAACATTTGTCTAGTAAAACCTCTGAAATAGCTTGTATAAGAAAAATATACATTAAAATTCTGTGACAGTCTAAGTGAGCCGGTATGATTGAGGCCTACACCAGTGCTCTGTTAAACATTAATGTTTCCTAAATAACAAGACGGATGATGTGTAAACATGTTTATCCTGAATTCTTTTTCTTTGAAATTGACCATTCAGACAATCGTATAAGGATATCAAAGATTGAAATTTATTGTTAATGAAAATTCAACTTTTCCACAGTTGTTAAAAGCAATTTTGATATCATTTGAAAAGATTCTGAAATGAAAAGAAAACAGTTTGCATGTACAGACATCGATTATCTATCAGTACTTTGATTGTGATTTCTTCAAACAATTTTATATATTCAGAACATGATTATGTCTATAAAGACATAGATATAGAGGGTCTGTGTTAACAGTCTTACATACTTGTAGTAATATTTGTTATTTATTGCTTGTGAGAAGGCAGTGTGAGGCAACCGACCAGTAATGTTTTCATTAAAAATATGCTACATGTTTATATAGTATAATCTGTTGAATTCCAGTCACAAAAGGGAAACTGCCTGTTGGCAGTCATTGATGATGTCTTGTTGTTTTTTGACAGAGATCTGGGTAATACACATCTCTGATCTTGGTTTATAGGGTTTATTGATGACATCATAAACAGTTTGAAATGTATTTGTGGTTATAACTTAGTTATGTTGAGGTATGTTTGTCTATGCAATGACTCACATGATTTTTATGCTCTGAGAAACCCGACTTTTGTTTTTGATATTCTATAGAAACAGTTGTTGTGAGAAGTGTAGATTAAATTAAGAGTTGTGGCCCTTTGTTGTTCATCTAGACCTCCTTTAAGTGGTAAATAATGGGAGATAACTCCCTTAGTTTAATGGGATATTGTAATCTGGGATTTCCATGTTGTTTTCATTATGTAAACAGCTGTTATAGTTGAGACAGCTGATCAGTGCAATTATTTTATTTACAACTGACAGTGATGTGTAATGTGATTACTCACATCAGCTGTGGAACATGTAGTTATGTACATGTAATAAACAGGTATTGCAAAACATCTTTCATGTATTTTTTCTTCTTTTTGCTGTTGAACTCTGTTCAAATATATCAGATATTTCAATTATACCCATATCTACATGAAAGAAAATGGGCAAGAGTTTTAATATCTGATTTATTATCATTTTACAATCAATCAGTAAGCTGCAGTATGACATTGCATTACTCAGAGACCTAGATATCAAGTAAAACTACACACCTAGATATCATGTAAAACCATAGATCGAGATATCATGTAAAACCACACACCCAGATATCATGTAAAACCACACACCTAGATATTGTGTAAAACCACACACCTAGATATCAAGTAAAACCAAACACCTAGATATCAACCACACACCTACATATCATGTAAAACCACACACCTAGATATCATGTAAAACCACACACCTAGATATCAAGTAAAACCACACACATAGATGTCATGTAAAACCACACACCTAGATATCATGTAAAACCAAACACCTAGATATCAAGTAAAACTACACACATAGCTGTCATGTAAAACCACACACCTTGATGTCATGTAAAACCAAACACCTAGATGTCATGTAAAACCACACACCAAGATATCAAGTAAAACCACACACCTAGATATCATGCAAAACCTCAGACCTAGATATCAAGTAAAACCATACACATAGATATCATGTAAAACCTCAGACCTAGATATCGTGTAAAACCACACACCTAGATGTCATGTAAAACCACACACCTTGATATCATGTAAAACCAAACACCTAGATGTCATGTAAAACCACACACCTTGATATCATGTAAAACCAAACACCTAGATGTCATGTAAAACCACACACCTAGATGTCATGTAAAACCACACACCTTGATATCATGTAAAACCAAACACCTAGATGTCATGTAAAACCACACACCTAGATGTCATGTAAAACCACACACCTTGATATCATGTAAAACCAAACACCTAGATGTCATGTAAAACCACACACCAAGATATCAAGTAAAACCACACACCTAGATATCATGCAAAACCTCAGACCTAGATATCGTGTAAAACCTCAGACCTAGATATCGTGTAAAACCACACACCTAAATAACATGTAAAACCACACACCTAGATATCATGTAAAACCTCAGACCTAGATATCGTGTAAAACCTCAGACCTAGATATCGTGTAAAACCTCAGACCTAGATATCGTGTAAAACCACACACCTAGATATCATGTAAAACCTCAGACCTAGATATCGTGTAAAACCACACACCTAGATATCATGTAAAACCTCAGACCTAGATATCAACCACACACCTACATATCATGTAAAACCACACACCTAGATATCATGTAAAACTTCAGACCTAGATATCATGGATATGGGGAGAAGGGGAACACAATTTGTATGAATGGAGGGGGGGGGGGGGTCTCAGCTCGAAGGGGCCTGCCGGGACAAAAGGGACATTTTGCAAGTTCTTTAAAAGCCTGCTCCTCCTTTAGAAATATTTTATTTGGATGTTTTTACCGAACGTGGTCTGAATCATCCTTGGGAGAAGCAAAATCAACTTCGTATAAACGGCATGTCTCGTCTGTAAACACTTAAACCAATCTTTTTGTTTTCTGGACGAAATACACTGCTAGTCTAGTGCAATTCGCCTTCCCTGGATCACTGTTTTGTTGGTGGACAAAATCCTTGAGGTTTGCCATAATCTGCATCCAACATTTCAATTCATTCAAACAGCGGCATGGTTCAGAAGGAAAAATAAAGTTTTGAAATTATGAAAAGTGTTCAAATTTTGAGGTAGGGCACCTGCCCAATCTGATTTTTGACACGTGTTCCGAACCATTTGTCTTCCGTTGCCTACTAGGATTGAAAAATTACATCCTTAGTATCACTGCCGAGTTAAAGAAGGACTAGACAACCGCATGATTTTTGGCTCGGCTGTATTTAATTTGTATTGGAAAGAACGAACAAAAGACACACAACATGATCTTTTAATACAAATTTAGAATTAGATACAGTAGAGCCAGACAATGAATTAAACAGCATCATACCGCTGTTTTGTCCTTCCAGGACTCGTCTGTACAACATAGACAATGGGCATCTAAAATCATGAGAATGACGGCGTTAGTTTACAGCATTGTTTTATACATCCAGTGACAAATATATATTCCTCTGTAAAATCGGTAACTTTTATATGTCATTTCTATTTTGTTAATACATTGTAGGCGTGGATTTGTTTAATCGACAAATTAATTAAATCTAAAAAAAAAATATTGTCCACGAAATAAAATATAAACGAACGAAAAAATCCACGAAATTCAAACCCCACAAAACTTGTCTGATAGAAAAAGAGACTTTATTATAGTGGATACTGAAGGTTGATTACAAGCTCTTCGGAATTTAAAAAATCCACGCTCACAAGTCCAGTACTTCTGAAGTACAGGAAAGACTTTGTCCAGCAAGTTTTCTCGTAAGTTGTAAATGGATACACATATTTCAAAAAAAAATCTTCATTTTTAAATTCTCTCCTATTAAAGCCAGCTGAGTGAAAAATGCACACACTCAATATTTTACCCCGTCAATGGTAGGTGTCGCTTTACTT